TTTTCTCAGCTCTCACCGAACGGATTTCTTTCAATGATACGTCAAAAGATCACAAATCGTATCTAGTCGAAGACATTACCCTTAAAAATTGAAAAAAATTCCTCCGTTCCCCGTAAATGGGAGAAACCTCCAAAAAAATTACAAATTTAAAAATAGCTAATTTTCGAAAATTTTTCAAATTTTTTTACTTAAAACTGCCATAACTTTTTAAAAAATGTATGGATCAGTATAATTTTTTTTATATAGATGCTTGATGTCTTTACCTATCATTTGATATATTTTTTTTGTAAATTTGACCTTTTATCTGCCCACAGGGAGGGATTTAAAAAGACAACTTTTTCACAAAAAATTAACTTTTTCAACTTAACTTTTGAAAATGTTCCGGAAGGTCTGACACTTTTATATATATCTTAAATTAAAACTAATGTAATATACTTTAATTTGAAAAAAACAAATTTGATCTCTGGACTTGTCTTCATGGTGAAAATGGCTATCGAATGCTATTTTTGTGTGAAAATTCTCGATTTTATAATTTACATTTTTTACTTTAAAGTGCTATAACTTTTTAAAAAATGTATGGATCAATACAATTTTTTCATGAAAAGTAGTATTCATATACATCTTTCATTGGCCATACTTTTTTTTTAAATCAGACCATTTCCCTATATATGGGGGGCTTAAAATATAAAAAATGCATATATAAAGTAGAACTTTTTCAACTTAATAATGCTAGAACTTATTGAAAAGTGTATGGATCCACACAATTTTTTTATGAGAAATAATATTTTTTAATAAACCCTTTTCAATTCGACATACTTTATCTTAATCGAGATATTAATAAGAAACCAGCAGATCATGTATCTTTTGAAATTGGAACACCAATTTTTTTTAAATTTAACACTATCTTAGTTTTTGCATCGAAGCGTTTATTTTTGATAGTGATATTAATCACTGTCAGATATCATTATACTTGATCCAACTATACCACGACACCACTGTGCCGCGACCCCCCTGTGCTGGATTTTTTACTTACAATTATTAACATTCTCTCTATCTATCATCCATTTAACTGCTTTACGTTGATATGATCGAAGTGTAGGTATTAAACTAGATGGTTGTATGAAGTCATCTTCTTGATTATCATGATATTTTTTGATATTTTTGAAAAATTCAACAGCATTTATGTTAAACATCATTTATCTCTATAAAAAATGATTTATATTTTGCAAAATGAACTTAATGTTGAAAATAAAACAAAAAAACCTTAATTATGTTTTAAAAATAAATTTAATTAATTGTGCAAAGATTTCTTATAATGAATAATTAATTAAAATAAATATTCAATTGTTATATGTATGAGTAAATAAAACAAAATAATCATATGATAAAATAACTAAATATAAACAACTTTTATTGTTATTTGGCCTGAAATTTTAAATACATTAGAATTTTTAACTCTTAAATAAATAAAGATATAAAACAGGAAGTTAAAAAAATAATTTATTTAAAATTGTAGTTTTTGAAAAACAGAAATTTAATTGTATTATTAATTTAAAATTAAGTTACATTTCTTAGGGTCCATAAAAATATTTATAAAACATTCCTTAAAATTAATTATACTTCAAATTTTCATAATAATTTAAGAATGAAAATTATAAATAATATTACCTAATATATAATTTCTTTTTAAGTTTATCTACTAATATTATAGAAAAGTTAACAACCCGGGGACTACATCAATGGTTATCTAAGTAATAATTATTCATTTGTATCAGATTTCTTAAAAATATTTTCAGCCAATTTAATCAAAATTACAATTTAAACAGCAACTTTGATAAACTAATAAAATTACAGAAAATATATTAATGACAAGAATTTTCAGTCTTATTATAATTAGTGTAACTTTCAAACGGCATTAAAATATAGAAACACTCAAATAACATTTCAAATTTTTACAATCCTTATCATGAATTCAGATTAATTCTTTGTTTACCAACGAAAGACGAATAAACAAACAGTCAAATCAATATAGATAACTATACAGCGTTGCTAGATTTAATCTACTGTAATCGTACCAGAAAAAAAGAAATATCGTACAAATTTACAACCGTAGCAACATCTATCGGTAGACAATAAAAATTATCATAATTCAATAGTATCATGAAAACAAATTAACCAAGTCTTATTGATTCTTGGTAAATATCAGTCTTTGAAAATAAACTTATTTTGATTATTAATTATTAATACATTATAGGTAACATTAGATTATTCTTCTTCTTTTTCCTCGCCTTAATCCCAACTACTTGGGGTCGACCACCCTTATTTTAAACTTCCACTTGACACGATCTCCCACATCAACTACACACACATCAACCGTCATCATATCATAAATACATGTCTCCATCTCTTTTTTGGTCTTCCTCTACCTCTTCTTCCTTCAATATTAATTTTCATAACAGTTCTTATATCTTCAGACTCCTCTCACCTCGTAATATGATCAAACCATCTAAGTCTATTTTCTCTCATCTTATCCACGATTGACGCTACACCTATACTCCCTCTTATATGTTCGTTTCTTATATTATCTTCTCTAGTCACTCCAATCATCCATCTAAGCATTCTCATCTCTGCTCTACTTTCTTGTCAACTGCCCAACACTCTAAACCATACATCATAGCTGGTCTCACTACAGTCTTATAGAGAGTTTATCTTTCAGCCTCATTGGAATTCTTTTATCGCATAATACACCAGACGTTTCTCTCTTCACTTCACCCACTCGTACTATATCCTGTTTCTTCCATCCTACACTACATCGTCTGTGAACAACATGCACCACAGTACCTAACTTTTCTTTTATTTTTCTAGTAATTTCATTCATCACTTTAGACATAAGCAAGGGCTCTTCTCTTTAACCACACGCACTAAATCCTTTGTTTAACAGCCTCGTCAATAACACCACACTTTTGCAAAACTTATCCTGAATACTTTACACTTTTCACTTCTCCTATTGTCACTGAACTCTTCATTTCTCCTACCTCTTGTAAACTTGTACTCTATTGTTATCATTACTTAAAATTATAGGTTATGCATAAGGGAGGGGAGTTAGCATTAGTGAGTATGTTTTGTTAAGAATTAAGATATATAAGTGATTAGCACCTTTGTTGTTGTTCCTAATTATTCTTTCTTTTTATGTTAAGTGTTGTTATAATAAAAAGTTATTTTATTTCAAACTAATACGTTGCATTACTATTAATTATTCATTATACATGTATACTAACAGTTGCTATTTTGTGTCAATCATCTATTATTAAGTTAACACTATATACTCTGTCTTACTCCTACTTATTCTTAAACCCTTTTCTTCAAGAGCTGATCTCCACATCTCAAGCTTTTGATTAATTTCCTCCCTATTTTCTCCAATTAACACTATATCGTCAGCGAACAACATGCATCATGGCACCTCTCCTAGTATTTCTCTAGTAATGTCATCCATCACTATAGAAAATAAGTAAGGGCTTAAAGCAGAACCTTGGTGCACTCTTATTTTTATCCTAAAACCTTCTATTACTCTTTTATTACGCTTTTTACCCTGGTACAAGTACCATCTTACATATATTCTATTTATTAATGCACCTTTTCGGGACTCCTTTTCTCATTAATGCCCACTTTAAAACCTCTCTTGGTACTCTATCATACGCTTTCTCCATATCTATAAATATCATACACAGCTTTTTCTTCTTTTTCCTAAACTTTTCTATTAGTTGCCTCACATAAAATAATGGTTCCATTGTTGACTTACCAAGCATAAATCCAACTAATTTTAAGATACCGATGTCTCATTTCTTATTCTCTTTTCTATTACCTTTTCCCAAATTTTCATACTATGATTTATTAGCTTTATACCTCTATAATTTTAACGGTTGATCTTCGATGGTGCAACGAAATAATAATTAATGATATTACGCAATAATTTAGATTTTAAAAGATATTTTTTTATTAAATATAAGGAAATATTAAGATAAAGCGTACAAAGAGTTTTTTTATTAGCACCTACTATTTTTCAACTCTATAAAGAAGCTCATCAACTATTAAAATAATAATTGGTATTTTATAATGTTTAATGTATGGTAAAAAATGAATGTGTAATTAACCATTAAGATAAGTTATAAAATTTTATGGGGATATTTAATATAATTTATTCAATATTTTTCGACCCCGAGATACCAATATTTATTCATTCTTCTATTCTATCCCATTTACACGTTTAATATTCCTGTATGTCTCCTTTGAATTTAAATATAGACACCACAATACTATTCCTCCATTCATTTGGGATTTTACCTTCTAATAAGATTTTATTTAAAAGATCCTTGACCACCACATGCCAACACGACCTAATATTTTCCATATTTCTACTGGAACTTCATCTAGTCCTACTGCTTTAATCTTTTTTATTGATGTCACAGCCTCCCATACTTCTTTCTCGCTAATTAAATCTTCCAGTCCCTCATTCCACGAGATATGATCTAATGTCTCTTTTGGGTACTCCTCATTAATTAATTTTTCAAAATACTCTTTCCACCTTTTTTCACATCATCATCATTCAAAAGTTCCATGTTATCAACACTTTTTATGCACCTTATATAATGATAATCTTTAGACCTTTTTTCTCTTACTTTTGCAAGTCTATAAGTATAAACCTTTTTTTTACCTTCCTTTGTTCCTAACCTATCATAGAACTCATCATAGCACAAGCGTTTATACTTCATCCAATTTTTCCTCCTTTTGCTCTCTGCCATAATTTGAATTGCTTTTTCTTACTTTCTATGATTTTTTGAACGTCCTCATCCCACCACTAGGTTTCCTTGTTTCCTGGCATTCTATTCCTACTCTTGCCAATAATCTCCTTTGCAGTATTCTTTACACAACTGGCAAATCTATTCCACATATCATTTATGTATCTCTCGACATTCCACACCGCCCTCTCATTTACCGTCTTTAAAATCTCTTTTTCATTTTCTCCTTTCAATTTTCACCACCGGATCCTCGATTTTCCTATTGTGTTCTTTCTGTTTTTGTATATTCTCTTCCTTCTACACCACATCTCCATTACTATCAGTCTATGTTATGTAGTTACACTCTCACTTGGTATAACTTTACAATCTTTTACTCGCTTTACGCTCTTTTTCTTCAACATAAAATAATCAATGTGTGATATATTAATCTCACTATTATAAGTTATATAATGTTTTTTTCTCTTTCTAAAATAAGTATTAACCATAGAAAGATCATACGACACTGAAAAATCCAGGATTGTTTCTCCAGCCTCATTCTTCCCACTAAAACCATACCCTCCTGTATTCATTTATATCCTCTGCTCTCATTACTTAGAAACAGTATATGAACAATGGAAAAAAATTAAACATACCCCTGGTAAATAGTCAGAGAAAGTTTTAGGGCTTTTAGGAAAAACCCAATAAAACGAACAAACCCTGGTTTAACACTATATGCCAAGAATTTAAAGGAGGATACAGAAGACAAGAAAAGTTTCTAAAAAATGATGGAAGCCTAGTGATGAACTAAGAAGAAATAATGGAGAAATGGGCAGAGTATTTTGAAAAACTACTCGATTGTGAAGAAGAAGTAGATACAGTTACGTATACATATGGGTGTAACGAACTCATTGATGCTCTTTGTCCAGTCACCTCAAAGGAAGAAATCGAACAAAAAGATTTAAGAACAATAAGTCACCCGGGGAAGATGACCATCTAGGGAAAGTATTAAAGCATGGAGATAGCTTCAGGATAAAGAATATATACTTGTAAATAAAAGAAGTTTGGGAAAAGGAAACTTTACCGGTAGATTGGGGAATAGCATATATACTCCCAATACATAAAAAAGACGACAAGCAAGTCTGTAATAACTATATAGGTATAGCGCTGCTTGATATAACATATATGGTATTATCATATTGCATCCTGGATAGAATCAAACCTCTGACGAAGAAGTGGTAGAGATATTATCCATGTGAATTTAGGCAAAACAGGTCAACGACAAACCAGATTTTTATAATCAGACAGCTGTTTCAGAAAAGCTGGGAATATAATAAGGAACTCTATATAATCTTTGTACATTTTCAAAAGGCGTATGACAGATTGGAAGGAGGCAGCGGAAAATAGAGAGGAATGAAGGAGGATTTGTGTCTACGGCAAGATGGTCTCAAAGGCCTTAGAAAAAACAATCTATATATTCTATTAAAATAATGTTGAAGTTCAGTTAAACATTATTTTCGAATATATTTTGATAAATCAACAATTCTCATAATTATTTTAACTATAAATTATTAGTTATAATGATTTACAATTTTCAAATCATTATAATATACGGTTTTGATTTTAATATCTTTACTGAGAAGGGACCCTCCATAAATTATGTCAAACGTTAATGGCGGAAGGGTATCACCGTAGAGTGACATATTGTGACAATTGGTAGGGGGGTCAAAAGCTTTGTGACGTCACATGTTAAAATTTAAAACACTTTATGTTGAATTTAATAAAGATTGTTAAATAAAAATAAGAAAAAAAATGAAATGAACTGTATTATTTTGATTATTTTTAAATACATGCATAAGTTTGAAAAATGAGTGACATCACATCAGGGGGAGGGGATGCTAAAAATGTGAAAAGGACGGGAGGAGGGGTTTTAAAGTTCTACAATTCGTGTGACATATTTTATGGATGCCCCCGAATAACCGTATACTTACGGTACAAAACGTAGGTCTCGTAACACGGGTATAGTTACTATACCCATAGATTATATAGTATTTATGGTATATGGTATGATACAGACAAATGGTTTTTTCTCATAGTCTATGAACTGTATCGGTCGATCCATTATTTCCATAGATGTATAATAAAATAATGTTTTATGAGATAACTGTGATTATTTTGGATATTTGGTTGCATTGATAAAATGTGTTGTTACTCCTGTGAATTATCAATAGATTTTGCTAATAAGACTATCAGTATATGTTATCAGAATCAACCAACCGGGTCACCCACATTATCTAATATAAGAGTCATTAAGGAAATGTTATGGATTTTTGTACATTAAATTTTTTTTACTGGCTAACTAATACTTAAATATTTGTGATAGTTTTATGCTTATCTGTTCCACTGAGTATGTAAATAAATTATCTAAAGCTTTACGTAATATCTATAAAAAATGGTTAAGTTATTTTAATGAAATTATTATTTCGTTCTATTTATCGTGTATTCACCATGAGTAAGCCACAAGTTGTGTTTGTTCTTGGAGGGCCAGGTGCTGGTAAAGGTACGCAATGTTCTAACATAGTTTCCAAATTTGGATTTGTTCACTTGTCAGCTGGTGATTTATTGAGAGCAGAACGTAATAAACCAGATAGTAAATATGGAGAATTAATTGATACCCATATTAAAAATGGTACTATAGTACCTGTTGAAGTTACATGCAAACTAATTCAAAATGCAATGGAGGCTTCTACAGCTAATAGATTTTTAATTGATGGATTTCCCCGAAATAAAGACAATATGACTGGTTGGACAAGGACAATTGGTGATCAAGTTGAGTTGTTGTTTGTACTGTTTCTAGATTGCCCAGAAGAAGTATGTTTATTATTTATTGATGTACTTTTACAAAATAGAGGTACTTTGACTTTGTCATGTTATTATGTCTTATATTTTTTTTTCAAATAAGGACTTAATTTTATTACTTCTAAATTTGAACTATAATATGAATTAAAAAATGAATTTTAAATAACTAGATAATCTATATTAACATTTAATTGAAAGATATGTGATTGTAATTAATAATGGGCCAAGTTTAACCCACATGATTTTCAAGTGCTATGTAATGATGCACATAGATTGAGCATTATTATTATGGTCATTTAATACTATTGTTGATTTGTATGACAAATTACTTTTGTGAAAAATAAAAAGTTAATATCTTTGATAAAATAGAGATCAATTTTTCACTTATTCTAAATCTAAAATTTGCAGACTTTCCTACAAATAAATATGCCTCTGGATTCAAGAATAGCACATTAAAATATAGAAAATCCAGCTCTTCAACATATACATTTCTAATTTCTCACTTTTGTTTTAAAGTGAGACATAATCAGACACTTTATTGGCATATTGACTAATAAAATTCCTTACTCAAATTTTTTTATTTTTTGGATTTACATAAACAGAAACCCTACCATGTTATGACCAATACTAATCCAAAACATGGTATCAATGCAGTAATTTATGTAGTTGATATCTATTTAATGTTAATATTGCTCACATTCTTTTTAGCATTTAATGCTATTAAAGATTTCTTTAGTACAATATCTAGTCTATGTGAGCAAAATAATTGGAAAAATTCATTATTGCCCAAGTTGCTTTGGCATTATATACATTATCTCGACATTCCATTATAATGTCTGTTTTTCCAATTGAACTATAACATATATTTTTATGTGGTATTTAAAATTACTAACATCATATGATATTTTTATACTGACAATTGTTTAATTTTAGATATGCATTGAACGGTGTATGAAGCGAGGTGCTGCTGGAAGTGGCCGCGCCGATGATAATTTGGAAAGTTTAAAGAAACGAATTGTCACATTTGTTAATGACTCTATGCCAATTATTGAACATTTTAAAGAGAAGAATTTAGTGAAGAAAGTAGAAGCTGGAAAAAATGCAGCTGATGTATGGGTTGAAATTTGTAAACTTTTTAAAGATCTATAAACAATATAAAATAATTTAATTTAATTTTTAGAACACTTATTAATAAATAAATATATTATATATACTATTTTAAAATGAAATGTTATATAATAATATCTATTATTATAAATACTTTAATTTGATCAACAGTAATATAATTTAATTACCATATGGTCCCAATAGACTTACTACTACATGCAATAATATTTCACATAAAATTTTTTAAATATTGCCCAATCAATTTTTTCTATATATTTTTTTTATTTATAGTAATTACGTAGTACAAATTTTAAAAATTATTACACTTAACTAATAATTTCAATAGATACCAATGTAGCTTTGAGTCTTAATCTTGTATTATTAGTTTTTTTTAATAACTTCCTACTTTCAATGAAATTAAAATGGATAGCTGTAAAATTGTGTAAAAAAATAAAATACGCTTTACATAATTACATTGTTTTATTATCCTAAAATATAGTTAATCGGTATGATGTTGAAACGCCATTGTAGTATAAGTTAATAATTACAAAAAAAATATTAATATGATAGTAGGAACGCTAAATTGTACATTCCCAAACAACAATTATTTCATGTCAATTGTCCCCGGAATTTCTGGTAATGATAAAGATTATTGTCATAAAACGTATTGGCCTTTAGTCAGGTGCTGGAGCTGGTAAAATTTGAAGCTGCGGAAAATGCGTTTGGTTGGGTTTAAAAAATATAGCGTCAAATTAATTACCTACTCTATCGGTTGTATTTTAAGAGGACACCATACAGAGAATGAAAAACGGTTTTAAACATGTTTTGCGGGGGACTACTTCATTTAATCTGTATCTATGCTAGAGTCCCAAATTTTTTACCAAATTATAGAGGACAAAATTATCTGTGATCTAGCGTTTTAATTTTTTTGTTAACATAATTTCTAGTACTTTATATTTACTATTAAACATTCCTATTTTTTTGGTTTTTTAAATGTTTAATAAATAGCTTCAGAGTTGTGTTATCAAAATTATATAAACGCTAGATCACAGATAATTTTCTCCTTTATAATTTGGTAAAAAATTTGGGACTCTAGCATCGATACAGATCAAATAAAGTAGTCCCGCGCAAAACAGTTTTTATGCAAAATAATGAATTTTTTGTCTATCGACATGTGTTGGTCCCTAGTGACATTTATAACGTGACGAATTTTTTGTTGAATGACGGTAACCGATTACCCTCACCCTTCAACTGCTACCTTGCAAACGATCAAAACTAGTTATTTTTATACTTTATTATTGACGAACCGGGGTACCATTTAGCAGTCGCTTATCTGAATTTGTAAAATAATTGTTATTATAGACGGGTGATGAGATTTAAATTTTAACTTTACTGTATTCATTTTTACACGTAAATAATAATGCAAGTATAAAGAAAATATCTATTGATCGGAAATCTGTCAGAAATTTACGTGGAGTTTTATTTTGTAACATTAGAAAACATTCTTGTTACAAATATGAGTCCACAGTATACATTATATTCGTAGGCAGCAGGACGGATCAACATCTTATTGCAAAATCTTTTTAGTAGTAGTAGTCTTTTTAGTAATTTAAAATTAATTATTTGCCAAAAAAATAAAGGTCATCATTAAAAATTTTGAGAATTAAATTAAAGTTTACTAGTCCTGAATTTATTTATGCGTAGTATATTGTATCACTTAAAACCATTTTTTGTGAGTTTTAAGACTCTTGTATCAGTTTTATAAAAAATTTGTAACACGAATAATAGGCCTTGGTGTTATTAAACAGCATTTTACAAATTTCTGATTGACTACAAATATATTTATTATACATAGAATACTCCTTACATAATATATTTATTTTATGTATGTAATAAGTGGGCGTACGCACTAAGTTTACTTGCATTATAGTTTTTTTTTTTTTATGTCTGTTGCCACTTTTTCTCAGCTCTCACTGGACCGATTTCTTTCAAAAATACGTCAAAAGATCACAAATCGTATCTAGTTGAAGACATTACCCTCAAAAATTGAAAAATTTTCCCTTGTTCCCCAAAAATGGGGGTAATATCCAAAAAAATTACAAATTTAAAAATCGGTAAATTTTGTCATTTTTTTCACTTTTTTTTCTTAAAACTTCCATAATTTTTTCAAAAATAAATAAATCAACATAATTTTTATTTATACTATAACCTTAGATATTTCCCTTTCATTTGATATCATTTTTTTGAAAATCTAACACTTAACCTGCTCATTGGGGGAGATTTTTAAATAGCAACTTTTTTACAAAAAATTAACTTTTTCAATTTAGTTTTTGAAAATGTTCCGGAAATGCTGCGTCCNTAACTTTTTCAACTTAATTTTTGAAAATGTTCCGGAAATACTGCGTCCTTTAAACATATATCAAATTAAAGCTTATTTTATGTACTATAAAATTAAAAAAAAAAATTTGTCCCGACGACCTATATTCTATGCGCAAATGGCTACCGTATTCAAAAATATGCTATTTTTCTATTAAAATTCTAAGTTTTGTATTTTATTTTATTTTAAAATATTTTATTAGGAGAATATATTGACTTTCATGAATATTATATAATTTAATCGACATAGAATAAAGTTCATAAGACATAAGAAATTAAACTTTTAAATTAAATTTTTTTTTACTTTTTTAAAGTCGAAAATGTAATTTTTAAATTTGAATTAGCTTAAATAACCAATTTTTTAGCTTCGATGCGAATTTTTTATATGTAAATACTAATTTTTAATAATATTAAAACTTAGAAATGATAGAAGAAGTCTAATTGCAGATTTGAAAACATCGCGAAAAGTTTATTTAGAATGGTATATTTTTGTTACTGATGAAAGTTCCTTGTAGTTCAGTGCATNTTGATTTAGAAAAGTATATTTTTGCTTCTGATGAAAGTTCCTTGTAGTCCAGTGCATTTTTTTATAGTAACAAACAGTTTTTATTGAAAATTATTGTATCAAGCCCTTTAAATTTTTATACACGTAAAAATAAAACAAAATACAACTTCTTTATTATTTTTATAATTTCTCCGTATAAATTACTGGATATCAATTGTATACTAAATTTAATAATTATAATTTAAATAGTATTTATTCATATATTATATTTTAAAATCAAAGAACTACTAATTAGGATATAATCAAAGAAATAAGAGTTGATGTTGCTTTTGGAATAATCCACCAATTTCTCTAAATGAAACACTATCTACAGATTTGCATCGAAGCGTTTCTTATGATAGTGATTTTAATCACTGTCAAATATCATCTATACTTGTCCCATCTATGCCTAGTCTATACTGTGCCTCGACCCCACTGTGCTACCGTTTTTTTTAATTTTATTTTTTGTGTCTGTGAACGCTCAATCTTAGCTCTCACTGGACCTATTTTGATGAACAATATGTCAAAAGATCACAAATCGTATCTAGTCAAAGACATTACCCTCAAAAATTGAAAAAAATTCCCTCGTTCCCCGTAAACGGGGGAAATCCCCCAAAAAATTACAAATTTAAAAATCGCTAATTTTCGATATTTTTTCATTTTTTTTTACTTAAAATTGCCATAACTTTTTTAAAAATGACCGAATCAATATAATTTTTTTATTTATAGATACCTTAGATATTTACCTATTATTTTATATATTTTTGTGAACATTTGACCCTTTAACAGCCCACAGGAAGGGTTTCAAAATGGTAACTTTTTTACAAAAAATTAACTTTTTCAATTTAGTTTTTGAAAATGTTCCGGAAATGCTGCGTCCTTTAAACATATATCAAATTAAAGCTTATTTTATGTACTATAAAATGAAAAAAAAAATATGTCCCGACGACCTATCTTCTATGCGAAAATGGCTACCGTATTCAAAAATATGTGATAAATTTTTGATTTAATATTTTATATTTTAAACTTTATATTTCTATAACATTTTGAAAAATGTATGAATCAATACAATTTTTTTTATGATAAATACCATTTATATACCTCCTTCATTCGACATACTTTTTTTTTAATTCGGACCATTGCCCTTTCTATAGGGGGTTGAAGACTTAAAAATTCATATAGAAAGTAGAACTTTATCAACTTATTTTTTGAAAATGTTACGAAAATACTGAGACTTTCATATATATTTATATCTTAAATTAAAGCTTATGTATTATACTTTAATATGAAAAAAAGTATTGTTGAAATTTTTTCATGATTACCTTGAGATAAAAGAATTGATTTAAGAATTTGTATGATTATTGCAGTTATGGTTACACTGTCGGATATTTTATCTAATTTTTATAACCTAAAACATTTTTCATTATTGTAATATGTAAGCAGTGCCTCCATAGTATCTTTCTGTTCGAAAAGGTTCTGTAACATTGTTTATTTAATAGAAATTGCCTCTTGGTTATTGAATATTATAAGTTCGCTCTATTTAAGCTAAAATGGTAAGTATCCACAATTATCCGAGCAATCCTTTTGGATAATATCAAATCGAGTAATTTTATTCATTTATAGTAAAGTGTAAATTCTACTAAAGTGAATTTTTTTTTTGTGTATATGAACGATTTGATTTATTGCGTATATTATATAAATAACGTTTTTATGACTGAAAGTTTGTAATATAAATGTTTTAATTGAAGGGTCGTGTTAGAACGAAGACTGTCAAAAAAGCTGCACGAGTCATAATTGAAAAGTATTACACTCGGTTGACATTAGATTTTCATACTAATAAGAGAATATGTGAGGAAATTGCTATTATACCAACTAAACCCTTACGGAACAAAATTGCTGGGTAATTCAGATTAAATATTTTTTATATAATATCGTTATTAATTTTTCTCTTAAGTTTATACCCTCAACTTTATAACTATTAAAATAATATATATTTTATTTTACGTAATTCAGTTCAAGTGAATTTTTTAATTATGATAGCTATATTGATTTAAATTATATTTTTAAGTAAGATATTTAATTTTATATCAATTATTTCTATTAAGAAAGTATTTTTTGTTGTAGTTAAGTAAGAATATATAGTTAACTCCTCCTAAAACTATTTTCAGGAAACTGATAAGTTATTAAACTATATTATATCCTCTGTTTATCTGTTTTAACCTAATATTGTTAATGTATTTAATGAGTTGTATTATACACAGTAAAACTATTTTAATTCTAGTTTTGTAACTCATCTTATGAAAAGATTAAGAACCAGTCAAGTTCGAGGTATTTCTATTAAATTACAAGAAGAAGAACGTGAACGAAGAGATAACTATGTACCAGAAGTGTCTGCCCTTGAACAAGATGTTATTGAAGTAGATACTGAAACTAAGGATATGTTAAAAATGCTCGTATGCTTATTACAATTATTATTTAAGTACTATTAATTGAATACACATAAATAAGTCTCTATTTTAATTTTAGGATTTCCAAAACATATCAGGTTTGCAACTTGTCCTTAGTTCTGGAACTCAATATCCAAAACGGAATTAAAACTTGTAATGTAATTATTGTAATACCATTAATTTCATTAATACAGTTTTTTCCCAGATATCTGTTTTATTTTTATTTATTATTATTGAATTTCCATTATTCAAGTAATAGTTAATCTTTTTTTACAAATTCAATTAAATAAATCAATTATTTTAATGAATAATAAATATTAAATTATTAATTAATTGATATTATTCTTATTATCAACTTAAAGTTTATAAATGCTACGAGGACAATTGTAGTATTATAGAACTTTCTATATTTGTGGGTATTATTTCTGTATTAAAAGCAATAATAATAAAAATAATCCTGAAAAATACATTATAACATAACTCAATATAAAAATAAATAAATAAAAAGTAAGTAGAATAAATAGTTAACTATTGTAATAGTTAGTTAGATAGTGTAATTTCCATTAAGAAAAATTAATAATAATGACATATTGCTAATAAATGTGTCTAAATACCAGTATACTGTCTTTTATGATTGTGATTATCTAAGATAACAATTATTTATAAATTAATCTGTGATTTTGTTGAAAAGAAGTTGATATATTGTAATGAAGAACAAGTCTTGCAAAAATTTTAACATTTGTTGCACAAAGAACAAATTTAACAAATAGTAGACATCCTTAGTGGGTAGCTAAAATGGTTTTGGTTTTACTTAGTTGTTTTTTTTTTTGAATACTTATATTTTGTTCATTGATATCTCAAAAGATCACAAATTGTATCTAAGTTAAAATTTGTTTCTTTTAGTCGCATATTTTTCTCAATTTATGAGTATATTTATTCTGAAAGACTAACATTATTTTTGGATATATTAATTATTTTCAAGTACCCCTATGGGTGATCACCTGAAGTAAGCCATGATTCCAGATATTTTATTTTAATTCAATTAAAATATTTTTGGAACGTGTCTTTGACATGCTCACCAAATTTTAAATACATGTTGATCATTAGCTTAAAAATATTTACTTATAAACCTTATGAATTTTAGAACTTTTTTTCTCAATATAATTTTAACAAAGTATAGATATTGAAAAATTAAAACTACGCCACTGGAGTTCCTGGGAATTTTATATTGGCATAGCTTTTAGGAAGTTGTGGCATAGCCAGGTTATAGGTTAGGTAATAATAATAGGCATAGTTAGGTTAGTCGTAATATTCAAGTCTAAAATTAATTATTGAGTAAAAAAAAGGTCCAAAATATGGTTTTTTTTTAATATGCTTTCCCTTTTATACAATTCTGATTACACCATTGCCAGAAAGACTTGGGTTCAGAATCCCTGACTGATTTTATGTGAAACATTTATAAATTTATAATGTTGATTTAAGGGTGTAGTAAAACGTTCTTATGTATAAGCCCTTATATTAATTATAATAAAGTTACAGTATTCAACGATTAATGATTTTACTTTTCCATAAATCTACAAACGGATAATATATAAATAAGCTGCTGGTTCTGAAGGAATAAGAATACTCCCCCCTTGTGGTAGCTATTCTTAAATTTTTTTAAATAAAGTTTAATAAATAAATGAAAATGGTGTGCAGTAATCACGATAGATTTCTTGGTAAATTATATTTGACATTTCTATTATAAATATCCAACTCTAAAATTTAGTACTACTCCAAGACTATAGTATTCTTGTTACGAAGTACGTTAAAAAATAGATCTCTAAAGTAAATACTTTTATTATGTCTCTCCCCCCCAAAATAGCTAAATGACGCAACTAGACCTCGAGGAGAATTCCTTGTGCTTGTGATAGCATATGCAATCTACTTAATAATAAAATGAATCTTGATTTTTGGTTATGTTGCAACGTTTTTAAATCACGAGTTTAAATAATAGTTAGTCGTGTTATTTATTAATACATTTAAAGCTGTAATGCACTCTCAAAGAAACTAGCTTTCACATATTTTAAGTGTAGTGAATGCAGAGCTACTTTTAGTAAGCTATATGGATTATTTCTATGTTAAACAAATACGGAATTTCTACTAGTAAACTTGTGAAACTCTTCATTAGTTAACTTAATCTTAAACTTAAACTAGTGTTAAAATTTTTAGCACTGACAACCCAAACAATAGAGGACTAAAAAGAATGTTTTGGTAAGTTTTTGCGCTATCTATTGGTATCAGCCGGTATAAAATTTATAACCAATGAAAATGTTCACTATCTTATTTCAATACTATGTCACGTTTGCAGAGTCGGTATTTAAAAACATATATTCAATTTTTCCTTTATAAAACATCTTACGTATCCCTTAGTCAAAGTAAATCCCATAGGTTTTTCGGAAAACTTACTAATTGGGGTACAAAAAAGTCTGATAAAAACATTAAACTCGTCTATTTATCTAGTGAAATGGCCAATTCAGAAGTAGAACAAACTTTAGCGCCCCTTAGAGCAGCTGTAAAAAAACAAGTAAGTAAAATGAAGTTACTATTTCATTTTTGTCAACGAATTATGATTTTTAGGGTGATTTGATTAGATCACTTAAAGAAAATAAAGCTTCAGATGTTGAAATTAAAATAGCTGTAGGAGAGTTGAAATTATTAAAAAAACAATTGGATGATAAAGAACTTTCTTTACAGCCACCTTCAGAAACTTTTAATCGATCAAAATTTTCAGACCTTTTGATCCGTCGATTTTTTTACGATCAATCTTTTTCCATTTATGGAGGTAAAATTTAAAATAAAGTTATAAAATCTTTCAATTTATTTACTTATATGTTTCTATTAAGGTGTTGCTGGGCTTTATGATTTTGGACCTATGGGTTGTGCATTAAAATCAAATATATTAGAACAATGGAAACGCTTTTTTGTTCTTGAAGATCAAATGTTAGAAATTGATTGTTCAATGCTAACACCTGAACGAGTATTACAGTAATTTTATAAACTAGTATTAAAGTTTTTGTTCATGTAACATTATTTTATTTTATTCCCATAGAACATCTGGTCATGTTGAAAAGTTTGCTGATACTATGGTAAAGGATAAAAAAACAGGAGAATGTTTTAGACTAGATCATTTAATAAAAAATCGTTTAGAAGTTTTAATAAAAGATAAAAAAACTACAACTGAAATCAAAGATGAGTGTAAAGATATCGTTATTAAATTAGATGGGATGACCACTCAGCAAATGTCTGATATTGTTGACAAATTTAAAATGAAATCGCCAACTACAGGCAATGATCTATCTGAACCTATTGATTTTAATCTTATGTTTGCTACTCAAATAGGACCTACTGGAGATCAAAAAGGGTAAAAATGTTTATAATTTAGTGATGTCTAATTAAATATAAAATTAATGTATTTATTTGTTTCTTATACTAATTAGATTTCTAAGACCAGAAACTGCTCAAGGTATATTTGTAAACTTTAAGCGTTTACTAGAGTTTAATCAAGGAAGACTACCATTTGCTGCAGCTCAAATAGGCAATGCTTTTAGAAATGAGATATCTCCTCGGTCTGGTTTACTTAGAGTCCGGTAAAATTAATAAATTATATGCTAATATGTAGCTAGAATTTTATTTTGAATTTATACCTGATTTAAAGTATAATTTTATAATTAAAAAACTAATTATGTAAACAAAAATATTTGGAATTCTTCCTTAACTTAGATGACATAATTCTAATTTTACATAACAGTATTTGAGTAGTCTTTACAAGAGTACATATCCAAATATATATATTTTTTTAATCTTGATTTTTCTATGTAGTAATTTATTGACCAAAAAGTAAAATTACAAAAAAAAAACATATTTATTTTTGTAACTGGACGATTCATTTATAATACTAATTATTTTTTACTAAATAAATTTTTAAATAAAGTCATAAAATACTAAAATTCAAAATAATAATATTTCTGTTAGAGAATTTACCATGGCTGAAATAGAGCATTTTTGTGATCCAAGCGATAAATCACACCCAAAATTTAATGAAGTAGAAAACACAAAATTAAAGTTATATAGTGCTTGTAATCAAATGGATGGTAAATCACCTATTGAGATAACCATTGGACAAGCTGTTTCTGAAGTATGAAATAATTCTTGAAAAATTATAATAATATAATTTAAAAATAAATTTAAGAAAATTTTATTATAATACTGTGTATTACTTAATAAATTATTTTGTAGGGTCTTGTAGCGAACCAGACTTTAGGATACTTTATGGCTCGTATTCATTTGTTCATGTTAAAAATTGGTATTAATAAAGAAAAATTAAGGTTTAGACAACATATGTCAAACGAAATGGCACATTATGCAGTTGATTGTTGGGATGCTGAATGTTTAACTTCTTATGTATTTAAAAAACTAAAACATTTTTATATATACATGAGAAACAATTTTCCTTGAAATTTTTTTTTTATATTAGGGTTGGGTTGAATGCATTGGTTGTGCTGACCGTTCAGCTTATGACCTTTCCAGACACGGGGAAGAAACAAAACAGAGATTGGTTGCAGAAAGAAAATTACCTGCACCAAAAAATATTCAGGTTATCGGTTGGTTATGACAGTCAAAAACATTAAATGTACTTATATTAATTTTTTAATAATTATTTCTTATTAGAACTGGACATGGATAAAGGTTTAATTGGTAAGACACTTAGAAAAGATTCAAAAGAATGTGTAGATAAACTTTCAAAGTTATCCATTGATGAAGTGAAACAACTGCATGACTTCATTGATAAATCGTAATTTATAAAATATTAATTATGTACTTTATTTAAATTACTATTTATGTTTTCAGGACTCCTGATCCAAAAACAGGGTTAACATCATGCAATATAGGTGACAAACAATTTGAACTAAGTAAAAATATGATCCCTTTAAAATGTTATTCAAAAACTATTCACGTTGAAGAAATTATTCCCAATGTTATTGAACCATCATTTGGTATTGGGCGCATAATTTATACATTACTTGAACATACTTTTAAAATACGTGAAAAAGACGAACAAAGAACAGTATATATATATAATTATAGTTTTAATTAAAGTATTGATTTTTTTTGTTTTTTTTCTATTTTTCTAGTACTTAACATTACCATCATTAGTAGCTCCTTTAAAATGTTGTGTATTACCATTGCTTGATAATGAAAAATTTGTGCCTCTTGTTTCAGCAATATGTAAGTACTAAAAAGTGTTTTAATTAGTATATGTGATTTTCAAAACTTACACTTAAAATTGAAAAAAATTAAACCAAACTTTTTTCTTGTAAATGAGTTTGCAAACCAAACTTGTATGATTATATATAGTACAATAGTATCATTAAAATTTGGTAAAGCACTCATTTTTTTAGAAACTTAAGAATTTCAAATTTTGTAAAGAGAAAAAATAATATGTTCAAAACATACCTACTCTATGTATTTAAAATGTTGTAATAATGGATTATTATTGTATACTTTATAGTAACTGTTTATCATATTTACATATGTATTACTATTATTTTTTTAATAATAAGGAAGATGTATTAATATTTTGGAGGTACCAATAATACCATAACATTATTTTGATTTTAATAGTCGTGCATTCCTCACAATTAAACCCCCAAAGTAAAAAAAATACGAAGAACTTGTAAATATTTTCAGAAAAAAATATAAAATTACTTAGGCTTTTAATTTGATTCTTTGACAAAATGATTTTACTGATATTATAAAAATAATATGTACTATTAACTCAAATAAATCGATAATATATCAAATATACTCACACCTCAAACACGTAAAAACATGCTATATATAAAATTTAATATTTAAACTACTATTGTTGATGTATTATCTTGTAAAATTATTAGAATCATGAAAATAAAATCGTTATACTTAGGTATAGTCTTATATATTATATATATATACATAATTAAATATATTAATTATATATTATATATAAACATTATTAAATGTTAATAGCAGTTTTTACTTTTCAGCTAAAAGTTTATGCCTTAAAGGAATTTCTAATAAAATTGATGATTCTAGTGGTTCAGTGGGTCGTCGTTATGCCAGAACTGATGAAATAGCTGTTCCTTACTGTATAACAGTTGATTTTGAATCATTAAATGAACCACAATCAGTAACTATTCGAGAAAGGGACTCGATGGAACAGATTAGAGTACCTGTAAGAGAAAATATTTGTTGAAAAAATATATCTGTAATGATAATTAATTGTATAATTTTAGGTTGCTGAAGTTGTTGATCTAATTTATGATTTATCTCAAGACAATATTAATTGGGATGTTGCTATGACTAAATATCCTAAGTTTGAATCTCAACAAAATGAATAGGGAGATTATAATATTGTAATGGCTATTTTAAATATTTTAAAAATAATCTGTGAAATGTATTTCTTTATTTTAAGTTTGTTTAAATATGATTATATATAATTATAATTATAACAAATATTATTTAAGAATTTTTTCTTGTGTAAATATTTAATTATCAGCTAGTATAAAATTTATGCATTTAAAAAATTAATACTTCTATATAGTATAAAATTAAACATCCAAATAATTTTACTTTGTTTTAATTAAAAGTTAATAAATTATTTAAAATATTATTTTGGAAATAAAATCAAAAAATCAATTTTTATTTTTTGTGCATAAATTATGTTATTAAGTTATGAAAATGATGTTTTTTCTAGTTGGAAATAATAAGCTATAGTTTGATTAATCTTTTTATACATTTACCTTGACAAACTTTTCATGGGGTATTGATAAAAAAATGTATCTTCAAATAAAATATACATATTGGTAATTATAATTAAACTTGGTAAAGTGGTTAGTGAGCTTAATTAATTAATAAGTCAACAAAGACTTAAAACATCTTGAATTTGTTAGGAATATTTTACAAAACAATTATGAAGCTGAAGACTTATCTGCTGAAGTTCAAGTTTAAAAACAATAATAACTTTTGAAATGTAGCGTATTGTTTTTATTTGCAACTTTAAATTACTTTGTTTTGATCAATATACCATCAGGTAATTTTTTCATCATTAAAATAATTTCTATTACAGTTATAATTTTAATTCAAAAATAATAATAGTTTCAATAAGAAATTATATCAATAAAGTATTTTATAAAACTCAAAAATTAGCAAGTGCACAAATTGACATGATATATTAAAAGCAATTAATTTAATTAAAGTATTATAATTGAATTCTAGATTTAACAGTTATATTTTTTTATTTATAATGAGCAACACTAAACTCTTAAATACTTTTATTTGACAATACATTTAGGACTTCATTATCAAGATCAGATAGAGCCCATTTATGAGAACTTATTTCTAAAGCTTCCCACTCAGCTTTAAATGCAATTTTTGGGTCTATTGGCATAGACATAGCAGCTCCTGACATTTGATCTTGCATTAAACGTGATTGATCAGCAGCATTATTTTCTCCTAATACTAATGTATAAATACTTCGAAGACCAAAAACATTCAAAAAATACCATGAAGCAGATGATACCCAAGCTGCATCCAGTGAAACTAACTCTATACCTAAAAAAAAAAAAGATAAACTATATTACTTCTTTTAAAATAATTACATTTTTACCTCTTTGCAACATTGGTTTAAACCGTAACGTTAATGGAAAAGGAACTTTAGTAGTAACAAATCCTGAAAACATCCAGTTAATCCATCCACCGATAACAACCATAGGTAAAACATTTGTAACATTTCCTTTTAACATTTCAGTCATCATACTAGGGTCAGGCATGGCAGTTTGAGCAGGAGCAGAACGTTTATGAGTTTTAAAGTAACCATTCTCATCATTATTAAAGTAATGTCTTCTCATATAGAAACCTTGTTTTGATATGTAACGACCATTTTCACGCAAAATTCGTGATCTAATTAAAACTTGACTATCTTGTACTTGAGTAATTTCTACTTTTTTTTGCGATGTAATTAAAAGAGAAACATAGTGTCTTATAACGCCGACGAGAAATGTAATCAGAACGATTGGTAAGAACACCCATCCTCGAATGTTGATATCTAAAACTAACTCAGCCATTTTTTTACAATTTATTAAATTCTAATATTAATAATTTAACTATGTACTCTAAAAGTATACACTGGCATATTATTTTAACGTAATAAGTACCAAAAATAAAATTGTTTGAAGTAATCCTTTAATATAATAAAGTTAAGCTCGTTTAAAAATAATGTTAATACTGTTATCAGTCACTAAATTTATAGAGATATGATTGTCAAATATATAAAATTAGGTATACTTAGAAGGAAACGCATTGAGGAGTTTGTTGCATATTTTTATGCAGCACCATGAGATTAAAACGAATTTGATATGCGTAAATTATCGAACTTATCGTAATTTATTGACTATTCTTATCATACCAGTATTGATATATGCTATTGGTTGACCGGTTAAAACATATCATTTGAATATACCTCAGTAGTTATTGCTTGCAGGATTTGTTAGGTCGTGTTGTATTCAAAACTTGTACTAGTACCTTGAGCGTAAATTATTTCGTAGTAAACTAGTTTAGAATAAAAAAGTGGTTGATTATCTTTGTGACCTTCATTTTAATTATTAATTTCTCATAAACTACGACTATTTTTGAAAAGTATCATATAAGTTGATCAAATAGTAACGAACTTGTGTAACATAATAATTTAAACTTCATCAATTATTAGATATTTTTAATCAAAACTCAATTGAATTGTATTCAACTCTACAAAATGGAGGTAATAATTTATATGGTTTTAAATTGCCTTTACTATCAATGAACAATTTATTAATCTCATAAAATATTTTTTATCTTTTAGAATTCATTTTTATTTTATTGATCGATTAAAGTTGAATAAAATAACAATTAGCCATAATTAAAATTTATTAAGATTTTAATTCATATGTTTATGTTTTGTTATTGATAATATCTTTAAATATATTTTATAGCTATAAGATTGTATTGATTATAGTGCATTATTATCAGTGGTGTTTTGAGGGTATGCTGTGTATACCCACTGTTAAATTAATTTGTATCCTAGAAAAATAATATTTGTATACTACTTATATTGAATGGTATGTGGTAACATCAGCATATATCTTACAATAAAAAAACTGAGCATGTTGGAGAACATATTTTAGTCAGGGTATTTTATTAAAGTACTTGGAAGTTTGACAAAATTTGTTTTACAGTTTATTAGAGGGGCAGATTAGGAGACTAATAGTCCAGGGGATCACAATACTTATAAAGGCACATTTCGCTTAAAAAAAAATGGTCAAAAATAAATTTTACAAACTGGTTTATACTTAACAATACTTGGGTAATACTTAAGTATTATCATGCCAGTTAATAATTTATTATTTTAATTGTTACAGTTATTTATGTTTCGTACTTTATTCGAAGGAAAAAGTGTATTACCTAATGTTTATTTAAGGAATTTTTTCATGTGTTGCTTTTTTTCTATAAAATGTCTGGATAGTCAAGGAACTTAAAAGTAAAAAAATTGTAATAATCCTGAAAAAATATTTTGTGCAAAAACACCACTGATTATAATGATTTGAAAATATTTAAATAGTAAATAATTATATTTATACTCTATATTCTAATTCACTCAAAAATTTATGAGATAAAATGAACATTTTTTAGGAAGTTAGTTTCTATATTGCAACTATATAAACCTTGATTGTTGCAAGGTTGTTGGTGTTAACTTGATTGTTGGTAATTTTTCTTATATCTAATAAATTAGTTCATTTATATTGAATTTCTTATGTAAATGTCGAAATAATAATTACAGAATCCAAAAATATAATGAGTTTACCTTTGAAACCTAAATTAAAATTTGACTTTGTTTAAAAACCAAAACTAACCAACAAAAAATTTTGTTTAAAGTTTGTTTTAAAAATAAAAATATGGTAAATTTTATAGTTAATGTTTTCATATTATTTCAGTTCTAAAAATAATTAACCAAACAAATTCTTGAAAAAATTTGATGTAGGTCAATAAACTTACCAGATATGGTAAACATTATCAAAAATTATAATAATTCGGTTCCCAGCCCTACTTTTAACTTTACATATGAGGACTAAAAAAATGTATTTTGATTATTTATTCTTGTTTAATTCTCCTACACAAATTTAAGAGAAAGCAAAAAGTTATTTTTTCTTATTAGTTAAAATGGAATTTTTTATTTGTATTTTATCATTTTTTATAGAGCAAGAGCTTAGAATTTTAGGCTAATTCATATTTGTTATAAATGCGCAAAGTAGCCTTCTAATTTGATATACTAACTTAAGTTATGAATCAAAATTATCATATATTGAAATAAATTATTTTGAATAATTATTTTAATAAAATAAGCCTATTTAAATTTTTTTTTCCATTTCAGATTGAAATTTTATCAACAAGTGGCAAAAATATTGGCAAAGTAAAAGTGAGTAATTGATAGTTATATTTTTAATTTAGTTTATATTTATTACAATTTAAATTTATTTAAAAAATGTTTAATATTATAAATTATAAGGATAAAATGGAATGATGATAACACCTAATGTTTTAATTTTCACAATATACTATTATAATGATTTTTTTTAAAACAGTTAATTAAATGAATCATATTGATGTACTTTGTTACCTATAAGTTTTATAAGAATAATATGCTTAACTATGTCCCTTTTACTAATTATTAACCACTAATAAAAATGTATCTATTTTTTGAAATAAAATATTAAATTCCTCATCCGTTCCAATTTTTCAAATATTGTAGCTTTTACTAATAGTAAAAATTTTAACAAGCAAAAAAAAAATAGGTGAAAATGATTAAATTAACTGTTTTGGTATGCATTTTGTTGCAAATAGTGTCAATATTTAGAATGTACAAAAATAATTAAAAAAAAAATTTTTTTTGAAAAATTAATGATTTTATAAAAATATTCCATTTTTCCATATTATTTAAATAGGGGGAGATTGCTTTTGACTTCATAGGGTTGTTCAAAAAAGCTAAAATTTAAATGGCTACTTTCTTTTGGTATGTTTTATTATTTTTAATAAAAAAAATTAAATTTTTTGTCAGTATAATAAACAAAGTGTTCAGTATGTAAGGAAACATGTCAATTGTTACAAGCAATCTGAACAATAGAACCTATTTCTTTATTTATTGAACATTCTGTATATATATATTTTGACTATTTTGTAAATTCATTATGTTAAAAATCATGAATTCTAATATTTTGATTAATAATATTAATTAAAGAGAGAAATTTAGGATAAATAAAAAATTATTTATGAGTATTAACTAATATTAGTAACTCAAGTTAGTTCTTTTTAATCAAAAAAGTTTTTGGTATTTTATATTTATCTCTGAATAAATCTGGCTTTTTTGTCATTGTTCATTTTGTAAAAATTTTAGGATTAATATTATAATATTTATTGTATTGTATTATTATAAATTGATAATATTGACCTTTTAAATAGTTCATTTAAAGGAGAGTTTGTAGGTTAAAGTTGTAAGATTATATTTTGTCAGTTTAATTATTTAATAATTATGTATGAGAGATAATACAAAATTTATACTAGATAATTGAAAAAATAAATTTGAAATTGGTGAAAAGTTACTTTTAAAGTATTAAAAATAATATATTTCAAGAATTTACTTATAATGTTAAAACACATGTTAGGAACATAATTAATCTATGTAAACCCATTCTAAAAATCTATTTTCTTGTCAAGTTAGTAAATTAAAACTATAAACACATAATATAGCTTGGACTTCTGTATATAAGACCAAATTCAGACTAAATTATCAGGTATTGGGGGGTATTTCTCTACATTTGGAGTGGAATACTTATTTTTTGAAGATAACTTTTTTTTGGTTATTAACTAATCAATAATGGTGATTTTTTTCGTTTTGGGAGGAGTTTCACTTAAACGAACCCCTTTGTATTTGTGACTTTATTTATTTAACACTAATGAGAAGGATATTTTTTAAATTTTTTTTTCATAAATTTAAAATAAATATTTTTAACTAATTTCTTAAAAAAGTTGTTGATATACTTATAATTGTTGTCAGTTAGATTTAAGACACGCTATATATTTTTATTGAACAAAGTTTATCAAAATAAAATTTTGATAATTTGTATGTCAATAAACAGTCAAAATAAAGCCATGACTAATAAAAAATAATAACTGTTAAAGGGATTTCGAATTTAAATAAAATATAGCATAAATTAAGTATGTACAAAAAAAAAAATACATTAATTTAAATGATTAATTTATGTAATAAGTAGTAAGTTCATTTGTTATTCATTGAATAACTACTTGTCCTTGATGAAATATTCAATTTATTCAGTTAAACTAATCGTAAATATATTTTTTGTCTATTATATAGGCAGTAGTGAAACTAACATAATGTATAGTTAATATTTCTGAATAAAATATTTACTGATGAGAGTATTCTTCTTTCTTATTAAATAAATATAAGTCATAATTTCAAAAATTTATTGGGCATACAATTGTTTTTGTAATTTTTTTTCTTATCAGATCTAAAAAAAATGAACCAATGTAGTTTTAAAAATATAATATAATTAATATTCTACTATTTTTACCCTTTTATGAAAAAAATATTATTTGTATTCTTTAATGCACACTTTTATTGACTAAAAACAATGATCATAACAATCATAATAAAAAGGTCACTAAAATTCATTTTATTCATAAGTACACTCTTAAAATTTTATTAGTCTTATTGGGATTAAATCGAAAATTTTCTTTACTATCTTTAATTTTTTTTTGGCTGTATATTGATATAAAAATGATTAGATATTAGATTGAAGAAATTATATATTAAATTTTTTAATTTGTAATCAGAAATTGAAGCATAACACTTTGTGATTGTTATATTAGTATTATTAGAGTTTAAATTAAATTAAGAAAATAGATAGATTACTTTATAATGATACATACAATGTTTGGGCTATGATCAAATTTTTGACTAAATAAAATATTATACATTTTATTTTCGTATTTATAATAAAATAAAGAAGAATATACAAAAAAATTGTTATGTAAATTTTCATGACTTAACAGCATATTTTAAAATTTACAAATTGTAGCAATTTGTGACTGTAATTGTTTGGCCTATAAAATGTATAGTTTTTATGAACTTAGGTATAATAAAAAATAATTTTTAACAAATTTTAGTTTGAACTTTTTACTTAAACACCATATGCGCAAATTGTAAGGGACTTAACCCCTTCAAAATTTCAGAAAAATTACATATACAATAATATTAAAAGAAATTTTAGAGAGGGAGAAGTTAGATATAATGAGTCCTCCAAAAATGTTCTTGAAATTGTGTCATTGTTGAAGCACTACAGAATAGAATATTCTATGTATATTTACATATACAGAGTATTTCACTGTGATTTACTAATTTGATTATATAAACTAATATTAAAATTCGTAAATCACGGTGTGATGTGTATATATACATATGTATTAACTAACATTAACTTTTGAAACAAACAATCCAATTAGATCACAGATGCCTCTCAAATTAGCGATATTAAGAAAAGTGTCAGTAAAATAAAACCAGCATTGTATCCAGAGAGACAGTCAATTAAGCTTGAAATTAAAGGCAAAAGTTTAAAAGATAGCGATAACGCTAAAGATTTAGGTAAGTTGACTATTCACTTTTATTTGAAATTTTTGTTTGTATTTTTGCTCTTTTTTATTTCATGTAATTTTTTAGTTTAATGTATTAATGATATTTAAATAATTAGTAAGTATTATAAACTCAACATTTATAATTTTATGGTGTACAAATAACTTTGTTATTTCAATAAAGATTTTTATCTATTTCCCAGTTTTCCCATCCGAAACCTAATTTGTGTGTATTTTATTTGTTACCAAACTTTTTTTAGTAAAAATTAATGTAATAATATTTTTTAAAAAATGTTAATCGAATATTAATAACATTTTGACTATTTTCGATCTCAATTAATGTAAATTAAAATAATCTAGTGTCCTAATTTGAAGTAGCCAAGACCAACAACAACAATGGTTTACTATGGAAAATTCAAAGAGTTACCCACATGACTAAATTTTTTACTGCTATATTTGTGTATATATATTCAAAAATCAGTTTTTTTTTTAACGAATTAGAATTTTAAAATGTTTGAAATATTTCAACTATTATATTAATTAGTTTATAATTTAAGAGATTAATAACATTTACAGGACGATTATTTCTTTATAAACGTTTAAAAATTATGTATTTATATAAATTAAATATTTGTCATTATTGTCGTTAACTATTATGACAAAAAATTGTTTCTATATGTCAATATAGTACTCATTCAATGCCAATTAAATAAAAGATTTTATTGCTATACAGTAATTCTAAAGATGGAAACAAATATAAAATCTTTATCGTTATTATTAATTAAATCAAAACTTTCTCTTTTTGTTAATATTTAAGTAAAAAATGATTACTTTTTGATTAAATGTAAGGCCATCGAAATTTTACCAATAAGCAATTGTTTTCAGAAGTAATGACGTATTATAATTATGACGTATTTGTAATGTATTTTAATGAAACAAGCCAAATAAAAATATTTGGTGACATTATAAAAATATATTTTTAGGAATTTTCTGTAACTTGTTATGAAATTAATTATTCTAACCAGAGTTAAATTAATTTATTAATTTGTTGAGTTATTCCGAACTCGCCATCAACTAAATATCAGCTAATAGTGGTTATTTTCCAAAATCTGATAAATCAGTTTTAGGGATTTTTGGGAGATATTTTTTAGTGCAAAAATTATACCTTGCCGATAAAATGTGTATAATAATTTTTGGTATATGACAAAAAAACTCTTTTTTAAACATTATAGATAATCCCGAAAATTAATTTTTGTGACATCAGTTTTTGGAAACAAGCCTCAGATTTTTCATTGAACTTTTTGCTTGTGAGTAATTAATATTTTCTATTTTATGTTGAATTATGTTTGATACTTTGATAGTTTAACGTCTGAACTTATTCTAAAATATAACGTATAAATATAGGTTAGAGGTCATGTCAAGATCGTGTAACATTTATAGCAAAAAATTTAAATAATCATTTTTAGTTAAACGTTTTAATTTAGTCATTTAATACTAATTATTTTTGTTTTTAAATATGTATGTATTGCTTTAACTTAAAGTAATTCTTTTCATTTTTATTTGTTTTGTAGGGTTAAAAAATGGTTCAAAACTTTATATTAAAGATTTGGGTCCCCAAATTGGTTGGTCCACTGTGTTTATGGCAGAATACGCTGGGCCTTTATTTGTATACTTAATATTTTATGCACGACCAAATCTAATCTATGGTATTACTTCTAGTCAACCAATTTCACAAGTTGTTGAGTAAGTGAATTTTACTAAATAATTATAATAACAATGTATACTATTTGCTAAACCGATTTTTTTGTCATTGAGTCAAGTTACATCCAATTGCTCAATTTAAAAATTAATATCACATAGTAACCTGCACTAGTTGTATTTGATTAGCACATCATATTTATTATACAATGTATTTCCGTTACTAAATCGTATGGAATACTTTTAAAGCAAATAATAAGATAATTATAATATAATTTGATTTTTTCAAAATTTAATGGTATCTCGTATACATAAGATTACAGTACTTATTAGTTCTAGTCTAATTATTAATCGTATTAAAACAATATAAACTTATTGATTGGTCGATTAAATTTAAAACAGGACTTCGAGAGTTATCAAATCTTAAATTAATGCATGTTTGTATTGAAGCAATTATTTATGAATGTAAAAATAATAATTTAAATTCTCGGGAGTATTATTTTATATTACATCATATAATTATCGTGAAACAATTTTAATAATGCTTAGCTTATTATAATTAAAAATATTAACATGTAAATCTAGTTACAGTCATGTTTAAAAATATTTTGAGGATAAAAAAAAAAATTTAATCAAAAAATAATAATGTTCTTTAATTAATTAAAATGATAAAAAAATAATATCGTGTTATACAATACGTTTAAACTATTTTGCTATCCTATTATAATTGAATACACTAATGCAATAACTAGACACTATTTTTAAAAATCACTTAAATTTTATTATTTGATATACATCTTATTCAGTTGAAATTGCTATATGTAATGATGAGAAAAGTAGACATATCCAATATTTATCTACATAGTATTTAATATTTATCTACATCTACAAAATATAAAATGACTGCGATTAATGTAAAACAAATTAATTTGTGCGTCTACTGTAAATTTTGTAATAGTGGATGGTTTTAGTTGTTGCTTCAATATCTTTAATAAGTTTTTTAATGTTGATTAATTATTATTTTTATTAGAAATTAGAGACGATATCAAACATTATTTAACACAGCCAAAAAATCAGTTTTTGCTTAAAAATAGCTGAAATACATGTTTTATGTTATTGAAAACATAAAACATAAATTTGTTGACTATATAAGAAATAAGCAAGAATTAAAATTATTTTTCAGTGACAATATATACAGGGTGATTTTTTTATCATTACCCACTCAATTACTTACAGAGTAATAATAATTTAAACATTTTTTTTTTGTTTATCTTTATTACATATTATTTTTGAATTATTAACTATGTAATACTTTTTAAGTTCATCCCTTATACCTGGTAATGGTGTCAACTTTGTTTTTTTAAATAGGAACACATATTTTGAATTTAATAAAATGTTTGAGTTTTTAATTTAATAGTAAATGGCATTTGAATTTTTAGTATAACTTTATTTGTTTATTAGATATAAACACTTATAGTTTGAAAATTTTGAGTTAATATACAGGGTGTTCAGTAAGTCAGGAAACGGGTTTCTATTGTTCTCATTGTTTGTAACACTCTGTACATGTATAATACACAAGGGATTAAAAATATAGGTAGCTAATTGATTTTTTATGACATCGATTTTATCAGGTACATAGCATTGTTATTATCAACGCTAGTAAGGCACATTGTTGTGAGTTTATAAATACACTAACTGACAATACAGAAAGTATATCTTTTGATAGTCATAATTGATAATAAACAATTCGTGACTGTGACAGCAATGTCATAAANATAATTGATAATAAACAATTCGTGATTGTGACAGCAATGTCATAAAAATCCCTTGTGTATTATACATGTATATTAACTCAAAAATTTGAAACTTTAAATGTTTATATCTAATAAACTAATAAAGTTATACTAAAAATTCAAATGCCATTTACAATTGAATTAAAAACTTAAACATTTTATTAAATTCAAAATATGTTTTCCCATTAAAAAAAACAAAATTGACGCCCTTACAAGGCATAAGGGATTAACTTAAAAAGTATTACATATTTAATAATTCAAGAATAATGTGTAACTAAAGATAATAAAAAAAAAATGTTTAAATTATATATATTCTGCAAGTAATTGAGTGGGTTATGATAAAAAAATCACCCTGTAATATTTCTATAATAATATTAATAATTAATTTTTGATTTTAAAAAACAATTAAATTTATTATTCTGATATATCACCTCCTTGAATTAAAAGGATCGTTACTAAAATGTTTATTATTGATCAGGATAGGATCATTTAAGGTTTTAACAATGTATCCTTCCTGTAAAATTTTTTGTTTTTTTTTTTTTATGAATTTGGCCCAATTAATTTAAAAGAACATGCTTTGTTTTGTATAATATAAAAAAAATACGTTATATTAAAATATATATGATGGTCAAAAAAATGTTTAGTTACGACCCTTTTTGTTGGAGGTAGCAATATGTACGGAATTATTATTTATGAATATATTTTTTTAATAGAGTTGCAGCATATTGTTGGTCATTTCATTATGCAAAACGTATATTTGAAACAATATTTGTTCATCGTTTTTCACATGCTACTATGCCTATTATGAATCTTTTTAAAAATTGTACATACTATTGGGGATTCACTGCATTTGTTGCATATTTTGTGAATCATCCACTATATACTTCTCCATCAACTGTCCAATTTTATATTGGTCTTGCAACTTTTATAGTAAGTAATCATTATTTTTTAAATTATTTATTTGATATTAAACATAATTATTTGTTAACTTCAACAGTTCTGTGAACTTGGAAATTTGAGCATTCATATTGCTTTGAGAAATCTTCGTCCTCCTGGTACTAAAGTTAGGCGGATTCCAGTAGCAACTATAAATCCTTTTACTTATTTGTTTAACTTTGTTTCTTGTCCTAATTATTCTTATGAAGTTGGTAGCTGGATTGGATTTACATTAATGACATCTTCATTACCAGGTAATATTTTATTCACTTATAGTAACGAAAATTAAATGTTGTTTTAACATAATTACAATAAAAAAACTCAATGTTACAGTTTATCTTAAATCGTTGTATAAACGTTTGTACAACTTAATGTTTCTCACGGCATGTAACAATATAACACGATATATTAAATCTTATACAATGGCGTATATAGAGGAATGTAATATATGCAGCTGAGTTAAGGCTCTTAAGTTTAGAGCCTTTTTGACTTTTTAGGATACTTAATTTTTTTAATTTCAACTGATTTCGAATATGACCTTTTAAGATTTTTGCATTGTGGTAAACTTTGTATGCTTACGCCACTGGTCTTATATTTATGTGTAGAGTCTGGAATTATAACGCTATGCATAATAAATAAGGTAGTAACTAAAAAAAATTGATTATTAGATTTTTAATTTAAGTTTACTTTTTCTTATAATAATTTATTAAAATATCGAAAATTTGGTTTGAATCGGCATTTAACTACTTTGAAAATTGATAAATATGTTAGGTAACTAGAAAGTAAATTTTATTTTTTACCTCCTTGAAAGTGAGAAAAAGTGAGTTACTGTCTTATTAATTGCTTATATCAATATACATTTTTAAATTATGTTAAGTTATTCCAAACACATCATTTTTTCAAATTTTCTAGTCAAATTGATTAGAAAACTTAGTAGTATACTATTTATGAGAGATTTGGAAAAAAGAAAAATATTTCTGTGCTACTATACAAAGTGTTTATTAAGTAAGAAAACGTTAAAAGTTAATAAAAAATTACGATTTTTGTAAATTAATTCTTTTTTATATTTTTAACTTAATAATGCTATAACTTTTTGGAAAATGTATGGATCAGTAAATTTTTTTTTTTATAGATGCTTGATGTCTTTACTTATCATTTGGTATATTTTTTTTGGAAATCTGACACTTAACTTGCCCACAGGGGGGATTTAAAATGACAACTTTTTCACAAAAAATTAACTTTTTCAACTTAACTTTTGAAAATGTTCCGGAAGGTCTGACACTTTTATATATATCTTAAATTAAAGCTAATCTAATGTACTTTATTATGAAAAAAAAAAATTTGACCTCTGTACTTGTCTTCGTAGTGAAAATGGCTACCAAATGCTATTTTTGTGTGAAAATTCTCGATTTTATATTTTACATTTTTAACTTTATAATGCTATGGCATATTGGAAAGTGTAATGGATCAACATTACTTTTGGCTCACTATATCAACATTATTTTTTTATGAGAAATAATATTTTTTAATAATCCCTTTTTCATTCGACATACTTTATCTTAATTAGGATATTAATAATGAACTAGCAGATCATGTAGCTTTTGGAATAATCCTCCAATTTTTTAAAATTAAACACTATCTAAAGATTTGCATCGAAGCGTTTTATTTTGATAGTGATTTTAATCACTGTCAGATATCATTATACTTGTTCCAACCATGCCACGTCACCACTGTGCCGCGATCCCCTGTGCTGGGTTTTTATACACCAGTATTTTTTAACATGTCTAAATTAGCAATAAAAATAAATAAAAAAATTATTAAAAAATTGATTCAAATTTAGAGTCTAAATTCTAATTGTGTTTTTTTAGCTGGATTGTTTACATTAGCTGGACTCTATCAAATGGCTGTGTGGGCTCTTGGAAAACATAAGAACTACAAAAAAGAATTTTCTGATTACCCAAAGAATAGAAAAGCAATAATTCCATTTTTACTTTAAATTATACATAATTAAAAAAATAATAATACATGTTAATTTTATATTTAATTTGTTTCTTAATTTGATGGTGTTTTTTTTTAACTTCTAGGCTTAGTTTATAATTTTAATAATTAAATTATAGTAACTACGTGCGAAATATTGTTAATAAGTATGAGGGCCATATGATTATAAATAAACATAAGTTTTTAAAATTATTTATTGATTTTAAATATCATTTAAATAACAATAATATTTATTAATCCATTTCACTGAATAAAAAGTTTTTTAACTATTTATACAGAATAAGATGGCTAATATATCATTAAAGAGAAATTGTGACTTTATTACTGACCTGATTCGTTAAATGAACAAATCTAACAAAATCACGTATCCCGTCGTCTTATAAACTCATACGAGTTATAATTTTTTTTCAAGAAATAGTAACAAAAAAAAAAAATCGATTTATCTGTTCAAATAATGCTGAAATTTTCTAATGGTAACTATAGTTTTAAGAAAAAAAAGATGATTGTAAACTAGTTGGGGCTTGAAAAAATAGATAATAATATCCACAAGAAATTTGTATTTTAAGAAAGATTATTGATTTGTAATTAGTTATTCATTAATATAAAATTTCAATTCTTGGTTAAATCACTGTTTTCTTAATTTATTAATATAGTTTAAAAGAAGATTATTATGTTTTATTAGTTAATCGTGAATTTTTTATAATTATGGTTTGATTTTTCTCTTTGACCTAAAAACTAAATTTGTGCTTCATTACTTCATCCAAGTATGATTCAATTGATTTTCAGTATCATATTTCTGTAATAATTTCTGTAAAACAATGGTATAGTTTTTTTAAATTTATTTATACGAACTTAACATTTAAATATAATACTTCAAATATCGATACGCGTATGAAAGAAAGTCGTAACTCAATTTTTGTGATTTATGAAGGTGATTGTTTTAATATTTTAAATTTTGTTTTCAAACTTTTTTAGTTCAGTGTTCATAATTATCATATCTCAGAACACATTAAAATACTTACTGTAGGTATTAAAATATAATTAATACAAATATACATTAAATAAAAGAAGTTACATTTATATAACGGTATGAATTATGAATCATTTGAAAGTTATATTAAACCATAATAAAAACAGAGGATAGATTTAATAAGGTATATGAAAAATAAATCTAAATATTAAAAAAAAATTACTTTAATATTTTATAAATCACTTTCGAGTTTTGAACAAAAATCGAATAGTATTAATATGATTATTGAAAACAATACTGTTATAAATAAAACTACCTAAATAAAATAAAATATACCTTAAGTTAATACATCTAGTTTTATTGAAAAATTAAATTTCAAGTATTCTATACCTCTTTGAGGCATGATGTTGAACGTAGCTATTAATAACTCAAAAGGGACAAAAATTAAGTTACGATCAAAATGGGTGCAGTTATTGAAATATTCGATGATTATCAATAGCTAATTACTCTCATTAAATTTATAACAAAGTAAGGATCACACAGGTACCCAGTTTCTCTATCTTTCATGGAATTAAAAAAGCGACCTTTTCAAAAAAATTTCAGTTTGTTGTATGTTTGTTACTATATTAGTAACTTATTTAATTAGTACACAAGTTACTGCAAATATTGTGACATAATCGATGATTATCGAATAGATTAACTTAATTTTGAAAGATGATTGAAATGATGTTTAACTTACAATTGTTGCAGCTTTTAATCCTCTTGGATCATGTATAAATTTTAAGTTGTATATATCAAATAACATATTTTTAATTGAATTATTCAATTTTCGAATAGTTTGTTCATTTTTTCTCATTTTATTTTTATTTGCTTTTAGTTTTGCATTTTTTTCTGCAATATTTAACCCCATAGAATTATTATTTCTTATAATTTTTTTCAATTTATTTTCAACCTAAGAAATGAAAAAATTAAAAGCAAAGTATTTTACTTCCATTAAATTTTACTTACTTCAACAATTTTACTTTTCTTTTCTTGTATTTCTAGTACTAAAGGTTCATTGGTTTGTTCCAAAACGAGAATATTTTCATCCCGCAATAAAATTTGTTTTTCCAATTCTTTGTTTTTAAATTTTTCTTCACATATTACATATTCTTTATGTACGATAATAGCATCACGCTCGTGTATTAAGTTATTAAGATCTAATACAGTTTTTTCTCGAATTTGCACAGTTAATTTTAATTTTTCGATATCTTCTTCATATTTTCCAATCATATATTTTAAATTGTCTGTTTCTTCAGATATACTGAGAAACCAAGAATTACTGTTATATTTAAGTTGTATGTCGAAAAAAGCAAAATATTAAATTAAAAAATGATGAAATTTAGTAAATTAAAATAATTTGCCTCATCTTATCAGTAATTTTAAGTATGTAAAACATTTGAAAAGTTTCGTAAAATTTAAACATCAATTAAGTAAACGGTAAATGATATATTTCTAAGAAGTAAATAATATACAAAAATATTTTCTAATTACTAAAAAACTTACGCTTTTATTTTCATTTTATATGATCCGAGCTCACTTTTTAGACTTAAATTAATTTTTTTTAACTCTTTAAGTTTGATATTATAATCTTTGCTTTGTTTCAAAACTAATTGTTCTGTATCATTTTCAATTTTATTTATATGCTGTTTCGTATTTTCTTTTTCTATAGATAATTGTTCCTTCAACTAAAATTTATTTCCTCTTTGTATCAACGTACTTTAAAAACGTACAACTATAATGTTAATTTTAAGGTATTTTGCTATTATATATTTTTAATGAACTTTTATGTAATTACAATAACGTTTTTGTTTTTTTTAAGTAATGTAAAAGACACTTTATCTTGAGTTGAAATAATATTTTTAACTAACAAAAGTGAAAGACTCAAGAGCGTTTTAGTTTTTTTTTCTAAAATACTAGAAACGCTTAAATAATTAATTTTTTGATATTTAATTTAATGACTAAGCTTTGAGACCTTATTTAAGTTTATATATTGAATTCAAATGATTCATACTTTTGAAATATCATCATCTTTTTCTTTAAGTTTTGATGATAATTGATATTCCATTTGTTTAAGCAATTTTTCTTTTTCAATTTCTAATTTAGACAAACCTCTAAACAAAAAAAAATTAAATTTACTTATTTTTCTAGGTAAATTTAGTTTTACCAAAAATATTAATATACGACATGCATCTTATATTTATTAATTTTTTTCGTAATTATATTATAAGATACAAATTATTTTAATTAAATCTTTTTTGATTTATCTGTTACTTAAAATAATACATTTCATATAAAATTAAGATAAAATATACTTATAATTGGTTTTAGGTATTTCATCGTAGTCTTTAGACGTCGATTATATAAACAATCGGCACTGAATATTGTGTATTTAATTTACACTATTTTCAATAGTTTTTAAAATTAAACAAATAATCAACGGCTGTCATCAGGGAAAATTTTGATACGATGCCTCGCTATTAATTATGTTTGAGTAAAACTATTTTAGCATCTATATAAAACAGAGAAGGTATTGGTTTTACTATAATGTGTTTACTTATTTATTTTTTTTTTTGTGTCTGTTATCACTTTTTCTCAACTCTCACCAGACCTATTTCTTTCAACGATACGTCAAAAGATCAAAAATCGTATCTAATTGAAGACATTACCCTCAAAAATTGAAAAAAATTCCCTTGTTCACCATAAATGGGGGAAACCTCCAAAAAATTAAAAATTAAAAAATTGCTAATTTTCGAAATTTTAAAAATTTTTTTACATAAAACTGCCATAACTTTTTTAAAAATGACCAAATCAATATACAACACAATTTTTTATGAGAAATATTATTTATATCCCTTTTTCATTCGACATACTTTATCTTAATCAAGATATTAATAAGGAACTAGCAGATCATGTAGCTTTTGGAATAATCCACCAATTTTTTAAAATTAAACACTATCTAAAGAATTGCATCGAAGCATTTTTTTTTATAGTGATTTTAACCACTGTCAGATATCATTATACTTGATCCAACTATGCCACGTCACCACTGTGCCGCGATCCCCTGTGCTGGGTTTTTTAATAATTTGTATTATATATGCGTAAATTAAATGTTATTAACAAAATATTTTTCTCTATTTTATACATATTTATTTTTTAAAGATTTCGATATAGAAGGACGACGGGATAGTGGTTTTATGGTTCTATGTATAATTTACAGTTTATGACGGTCATGAAACATTTGTAGGTTATAGTAGTAATAGTGTTTTTATTAAATAAATATAACTAAAAATATAAATTATGTAATATTATACAGTTTATAAATTACTTTTCTAGCTCCAAACTATTATCAAGTACTTGTTTTTGAAGTTCATCATACTTATTATATTCATATAAAAGCTTTTCATTATAAGTAGATTCTAGTTTTTCTATATTTAAATTATGCAATTCTTTTAAGCGATTTATTTCCATTTCTAAACGGCTTTTATCTGCCAAGTGTTTTTTAACTAATTCCTAAATAAAAAAAATTGTACTAACATAAGAATGTGCTCAATTTTTTTTTAAAGTGATCTCAAAAATTTTAAATTAGAACGTCTCAGAATTTTTAAAGATTATTTGGAAGTTATATTTTATTAATTACTGAATTTTTATTTTCCAGTTCTGTTGTACGACTTGAATAAGTAGAATTTAATTCTTTTAGTTTTTCACAACTGTTTTTTAATAATTCAGACAATTGATATTTATTTTCAGTTTCTAACTCGTGTACTCGCATTTTTAGTTCTTTTATAGTTTCAATTTTATTTATTAAATCTAAAGAATTTACTAAAATATCATTAGAATAAGTAAACTGATCATTAATCGATATCAGCTTTTCTTCGGCGTTTTTTACCTCCCATATACAAATACTACCATCTTCTGAACAAGTTATTAATTGAGAGTCATCTATTGTTAGTTTCATCTGTAAAGACAAACTTATTTAACTAAGAATTATAAACAAAAATTATAAAACATTTTTAACCATTGTAACTTTTTTGTTATGCATGCTAAATTGATTATACTTTATATCAGCCATTATAGGTAACATTAGAGACAATATAATACCATTGTTGACAGCTACAAATAGCATTAAGTCTGATTTAGATAATGTTATAGCATCCAAAGCGCCTTTAAATAGATCAATATCCCGCGTAATCTAAAACAAAAATTAAAACCTTTTTTGTAAAGGGAAAAAGTTATTTTCTTAATAAAATTGTATTTGTGAAGTAAACACAGAGATGGCATAGTAAAGTAGGTACCAATATAACTTAGTAGTTTTCTGAGCAAAAATAAAATTTAAGATATCATACGGGCGTAAGAGGATTTTCGGATCATTTCTTACAGTGAATTATTGTACATAAAATTTAAATGTATCATTATCTTAAGCACCAAAAAATTCATAAGACTGTTAATCTACAAAATGAAGTTAATGTCTAGTATAAAACGTATTCTCGCGTTATCGCTCAAAATACAATTGATAATTGTCATAAACTAGATGTGATGGAAAAAATTTAAAGTCAGATTTAGACTCAGTATAGAAATTCCGTACAAAATTCTTCTAATTAATGTAGACAATAGAAAAATGTTGATTATTTTTTTTGCTCTTCATATTTTTGAAGTTATAAGAAAAAAAAATTTCTAATGCATGAAATTTACATTTTTAACAACAATAATAATGGTAGTAATTAAGTACCGCTCCAAAATAGCTGACAGGCGTAAATTTAGCAAACTTTTAATGATTGATTCACTAATGCCGTAAATGTTGAATCTTAGACAAGATTTTATTTTTAAGCTTTAAATTTAAAAATAACATTTCTATAGAAAAAAAAGGTTCATAATTTATAATTAATATGACATACAATACAATTCTCAAACTGACAAATAAATTACTCTATTGAATCTAATTTTGGAGGGTTATGGGTCTCATACCCTTTTTTTCTAAATCCATCACTGCTTGTCTGCTACCCCGGCTAAGTACATCCAAATCTCCTCTCAAATCTACAGTCTTAGAAGTATCTATTGATGGATTGATTGATTTTTTTCCAATGTAATACATTCTTAGTGTAAATATGATGTATTTTTATTACATTTAATAAATATGTGTATTATTAACGATCTTTATTAATCTTTATTATACAATTCTAAGGAATTCAGAACTTGCGATAAGTAGGATTTTCGTAGGTTAGAGGTCTATAAATTATATTAGTTAAAAAAACTATACTTTAATTTGAAATAATTGTGAGGTACGTTAAATACTCTAACTAAAAATATTTTCAATTGCGATAAGACTAAATAAGTAACAGACGGAAATGTTTTATTTCATATATCAGCAAGTTTTATGCGCTTATATAAAGTATTAGATAAGATGATTTCAATGTAATTTTAAATTGGTGTGAAAGATCAATCTATACAATTTATATGACAACCGAATCATTTGTAAAATTCTTGTATCAGTAAGTATATACAAAATAATAAAAATATGTATAATCGTTTAGTTCGAAGAAATGTCTTAAATATAAATTAAGTTAATAAAAGAAAACAACGCATTGTTTTAGAAAATGTTAATATTCAGTAAAATTAAAAAAATGTCTGATATAAAATTTAAAAAAATTATTTTATAGCAATGTTGAAATATTGTTCAAATAAAGTTAAAAAATAGTTTTATTTACTGATTGATTGTGTATTTCTATAAATCGACCATCTTGAGACGCTGGATAAATTGTGCTGGTATCTTTTGAAATAGCTAAATCCATATAAATTGTATTAGGATGTACAATATCCATGTCTCTTTCTCCAGTTTTTGTATTAAATTCATAAATACCACCGTCTTCACCACACGTTAATAATTTAAAATCATTGATATCCCAAACAATCCTTGTAATCTAATATTGAAACAATAATCATTAACTAAAGTATTAATTATAAAATTAAACCTTATTTCTTCACATAAATAGTATATATTCATAAAATATTATACTCCAATTGAATCGCTTTTTGTTAAAAGGATATCTATTACAGATTGTTGTAAAGTAACATGTGTTCTTTTAACAAAAAGTAATTCAATTATTATAGCATCATAAAATTACATTAGTATCAATAGTAGGAAGGAATTCGTCCGAATAAAAACGGTTTTCTTAAGCCTAAAATTACAATTTGATGACGTTAAAATGAATACAAATAGTTATAAAATATAAAATATAAATTATAAATCCTCCCAAAAATTACAATTTAAAAAATCGGTAATTTTCGACATTTTTTCAATTTTTAGCTTCGATGCGAAGCTGAAAAGGTATTGGTTTTACTAAGATCTGTTTTTTTTTTTGTGTGTTTGTTACCACTTTTTCTCAGCTCTCACCGAACTCATTTCTTTCAATGATACGTCAAAAGATCACAAATCGTATCTAGTCGAAGACAGTACCCTCAAAAATTGAAAAAAATTCCCTCGTTCACCGTAAATGGGGGAAACTTCCAAAAAATTACAAATTTAAAAATCGCTAATTTTCGAAATTTTTTCAATTTTTTTTACTAAAAACTGCCGTAACTTTTTCAAAAATGAACATATCAATATAATTTTTTTTTTTATAGATGCTTGATGTCTTTACCTATCATTTGGTATATTTTTTTTGTAAATTTGACACTTAACCTGCCCACAGGGGGGGATTTAAAATGACAACTTTTTCACAAAAAATTTACTTTTTAAACTTAAATTTTGAAAGTGTTCCGGAAAGTCTGACATTTTTATATATATCTTAAATTAAAGCTAATATAATTTACTTTATTATGCAAAAAAAAAAAATATTGGACTCTATTTTATCTTCGCGGTGAAAATGGCTACCGAATACTATTATTGTGTGAAAATTCTCGATTTTATTTTTTACATTTTTAACTTTATAATGCTATGGCATATTGAAAAGTGTATGGATCAACATTATTTTTTTATGAGAAATAATATTTTTTAATTATTTTTTTTTTCATTCGACATACTTTATCTTAATTAGGATATTAATAATGAACTAGCAGATCATGTAGCTTTTGGCATAATCCTCCAATTTTTTAAAATTAAACACTATCTAAAGATTTGCATCGAAGCGTTTTTTTTTGGTAGTTATTTTAATCACTGTCCGATATCATTATACTTGATCCATATATGCCACGTCTTCACTGTGCCGCTATCCCACTGTGCTGAGTTTTATAACTGTCAATTTTTTCTTAAAACTGCCATAACTTTTTTTAAAAATAAACAATTTTATATAATTTTTTTTTATACATACCTTAAGTATTTGCCTAATATTTGATATATTTTTGTGAACTGTTGACCATTTACGTGCCCTTAGAGGGGATTTCATAATGGCAACTTTTTTACATTTAACTTTTGAAAATGTTCCGAAAATACGGACACTTTTATATGATATATATAAAGGCTTATATAATATACTTTTAAAAAATAGGTAAAAATATTATTAAAATCACTATCATAAAAAAAACTTCGATGCAAATCTGTAGATAATTTTTAATTTTAAGAAATTGATTGATTATTTTAAAATTTTTATTTATTTTGATTATGAAAAAATTATATTAATCCATATATTTTTCAAAAATTTCTATAAATATAAAGTTATATATGTAAATTTAAAATCTAGAGTTTTCACGCAAAAATGGCATATGGTAGACATTTTTACCGTGAAGACAAAATAAAGTCAGAAAAATTATTTTTTCTGTAATACAGTAAATTACATAAGCTATATAAAGTAAATTACCAAAGGTCAGATTTATGAAAAAAAATATCAAATGATAGGTGAAGAAATCATGCATCTACAAAAAAAAAATTATATATTGATTTGGTCATTTTTGAAAAAGTTATGGCAGATTTAAGTAAAAAAATTGAAAAAATTTCGAAAATTAGCGATTTTTAAATTTATAATTTTTTTGGAGATTTATTTACGGGGAACGAGGAACATTTTTTCCATTATTGAGGATAATGTTTTTGACTAGATACGATTTGTGATCCTTTGACGTATCGTTCAAAGAAATCGGTTCAGTGAAAGCTGAGAAAAAGTGGTAACAAAAAATAAAAATACATCATAGTAAAATTAATACCTTATCAGCTTCGCATCGAAGCTAATAGTTAGATCAAATATATCCAAGATAAAAGTTATAGATAATTTCATATTTTATGTAAAAAATTTAAAATTGGATTATTACAATTAAAAAAAATTAATGAAAACACTATTTTGCAGCACACGAAATACGCAAATTTCGCAATAACTCAAAAACTGTTCTACTTATTGCATTTTAGACTTTTCATAAAAAATGTCCATCATATGTCCTGGATCAGAAAATTTATTTTTGTGTATAAATGCTTTAGTAACGTATACAGGGATGATGATTTTTCAAAAAAATAACAAAATAGAAATTTATTAATGCTATGTAGAATAAACGCTAATAAAATAATAATTAAAAAAAAAAAATTATCTGAATTTTATCTAGAAAAAGACAAATTATTTGAACTTTAACCAAGATAATTTTATCTTTATTTTGTCAAGATGACTATCTTATATGTATAAGAAATAATAACTATCAAGATAATGAATATCTATATCTATGAAAATTACTTTTTGGTTATCTATTCCCCAAACCCAATAGACTTTATGTTATTTATTTTGTCAAATTTGTAAAATTAAATATTTTTTAATTTTTCTAAAATAAATAAAATTGGTCTTTTTTAATAAATACTTTTTGAGAATGTGCTTTGAAAGTAAAACGTTTTTCGAAGGTCACGGAACAATAAACATCGACATCAAATTGATTTGCCAATGCAAACATGTGGCCGGACATGCTGAATTCAGTTAAATTACAACTTGTTATAGAAAATTCTCGCCATCTCTTAAGTCCTTCAGTGTAAACTAGTTGAAACTCAACTTTTCCTGTGAATGCAGCAATAGAATATAAACCAGATGGATGCAAGGAGACACTAAATATATCTTCTTGATATTGCTGACATAGTATTAATGAATAGTTCAAATAATTCCATATTCTAATGGTATGATCAGTTTTTCCACAAGTAATGAATATAGGTTTCCATATACAAGTTGATAAGCTGGCAATACCCCCATGATGCAAGTCTTCGCCTAAAGGTTTGAAGTTTCTTGATACTACCTGTAATGATAATATAATAATTGTATTAATATTTTACCTAAAGTATGCATTCAGCTTAAAAAAAAAAGTGCTGTTTCAATTTTTTAATGATATTTAAAATTTTTTATTATAAATTTTAGTTCTGTTAAAATAATTGTATAAACTGAAATTTTGCTTTTCGGCAATATATTTTATACATTTTAATTGTAACATATCAATATTAAAACTACAAAAAAAAAAATGTGCTATTTTTTGACAAAACAATCTCAATACATTCGTCAGAAGAATTTTTTTTTATAATTTAATAATAATTTTTATTTATAATGATCTAATTTTATACTAAATATCATTTTAAAAATGCATTTTCACTATTGAAATTTGGTTGTTGTATGAATTTTAGCTTACGTTCCACGAAAACTTCAATAAATTCCTCTAAAGCTCAAAAATTGTAAAATAACATCCATATTTATGAATTTATTAATTTCTTTATAAACAATAAGGAAGTACAAAATAACCGTATGTTTATTTCAATAAAAAAGAAATTATATTAAGGTGTCCCATTTTTAATATTTTGAAAAATTTATGTTTTTTACATGAAATTGAAATTTAAAAAATTCAGATCGTTCTGACTAATTTATCCTCTGCTGACAGTAAGAGACATAGGTAAAGGATATAATAAAAAATCATAAACATTATTAATATGATTTGAATCAGGCATGTTGTCGTCCTGTGGTTTAAATATATTAAATAAATGTTCAACAACGGTTGTAGCTTTCTCTTCGTCTGATGTAGCATGAGTACCGTTATCTTTTTGAGGTGGTGAGGTAGTTTCTTTAGTTTGAATCAATCGTTTTGTAGCTCTCCATAATCATTTATCCTTAATGTTGAGTGTTTGAATATAATTTTGATATTGAACTGATTTGAATTTTTGAAGTTGGTTTTTTAGGTTATTAGCTAGTTTGTTATAGAGTTGTTTGAACGAGGGGTAACGAGTGTTTTGCCAAATAGACCTTATTCTTCTTTTCTCACTGATAAGAGCTGTTATATGAACTGGAAGTTTTACTTAGCTTCTACCATTACTCTTACTTAATGAGGATGAACTGTTTACTGAGTTCTTAATTAGCGAGACTAAGTTTTGAGCCGCATTTTTGATGTCTTCATGGGTTTCAAGTGGAATTTTCAAGTTAATATTTTTATCCAAATTGATTTTGAATTTATCCCAGTTAATAGGTTCTTTTTTGAGTGATGGTCTCATATTATAAGAAACTTCGCCACCAACAGTGAGTATAACAGGTGAGTGGTCACTGGTGATGTCACAAATATTTTCTATGCTTGTACTTAGCTGGTTTGGAATATTTGTTATAAAAAATTCGAGTATATCAGGGTTTCGGTTTGCGTGGGTAGGCCAGTAAGTTGGTCCTGTTGGTGAAATAGTTAAATAGTATTTATTATTGATAACTATAAGCAAATGTTTTCCTCTTTGATTATTACCAAAACAACCCAACCTTGGATGTTTGGAATTAAAGTCTCCTGCCGCTATAAATGAGTTAACTAGGGAGTTGAAAAACTGCTGGAAGTCATCTTTACGTATACTATTATAATTTGGAGGGCAATATACCGCTGATATAGTGATTGGTACGCTATTGATTTTTATAGACACACTTGAAGCTTGTATAGATAGTTCTTGGCGCGGACTTATTTCATCGTGTTGTATGTTTTTTGAAATGCAAATGGAGGCCTCAGCATGAGCAGTGCCGTCAGGGTGGTTAGTTTTATAAAAAGTGTAGTTGTTAATGTTAAAGTAATTATTGTCAGTAAAATGAGTTTCACTTATGAGTGCTATGTCTATTTTGTTATGGTTAAGTACAGTTTGAAATTCACTTTTGTGTTGATAAAGACCATTAGCGTTCCAAAGTAATATTTTGATGATAAGATTTGTTGATGTAGGTATTTCAGACATTTTTAAAAATAATTTTATTAATTACAGTGGTTAGTATAGATACCAAAGGATTAATTAAGGATTTTAAGTCAGTAAGAATGAGGAAAGTTGTTTAATGAGTTCATTGTTATTAGTGTTAGTTGTTTCTATATTTTGTGACTTGTTTGAATAGTTGTTCTGTTGAGTTACATTTATTACACATAATACACATTTGGGCGGTAGGTCTTTAGTTTTTTGACAAATATTTGACAAATGTGATCCGTCACATTTGACACAACGAGGTTCGTGGTTACAATATTTTTTAGTGTATCCAAAATTTTGGCATCGGAGGCATTGTACTGGATTATTATTAAGTATAAATTCTTCAAATTTTATTTTTGAATGATAAAGAGTATCAATTTTGAATATGTCATAATTGTTTGTGTCAGGTTCAAGGTCGACAAAAAACATAGAAAGTGGTTTTTTGGTGAATCTCTGCAGGGTATTGATGACTTGTTTAACATTCAAATCAAGTTCAGTTAATTCATCCTGAATAATTTTGGGGTCTGTGGAATAGTGCAAATTTTTTAGTACAACGCGAAATGGTTTGTCTTGTTTGATTTGATATGTATGGAGGAAATCAACATTTTTTTGTAAAAGTTTTCGTACAATTTTTCGATATGAGTCAGGGGGTTTTATTTGAAGTTTTAAACCAGATGCGTTACTTTTACAAGTAATCTCATCGATATCGATAATTTTTTTAATAGCCTCTCAAAAGTTTACGTAGTTTTAATCAGATTTGATGAACATAGGCGGTGGTTTGAGTATATTTGTTGATTTTATTTCCATGTTATCAGAACTTGTTTGAAGTGGAGTGAACCAGTTTAGTACTATGATATTATTATTGACAGTATTTCGGATACTGACAATATTATTGATCGTGTGAGGTGGGTATTGATGTACTGTCAGTAAAGAAAAACGATACTGATGACTGATGAAGTTAAAAAAAGTTCATGAATCTAGATCATAAAACGGTTATCCAGTCGTCATTGGACTCGGTATTAGTGGTTTTTTGTTAATTTTTTGTATTGCTGATTATTTGAGAACGATTTACAATAGTTATCAGAGTTATTGGATTGTTGTTACTAATTCTAGACAACGGCGTCGTTGGCGGACTGCGATTACTATTACTCATTTTGAGGCAAGTAGTGAAATATTAATTTCTTACGTAGATCCCGAAGGATCACTATGTTGTTAATATTTTTCTTACAACTTAGATTCGTTGATTTAAATATTTTAAACAAAACTGATTTGAATAAAATGATAAATTTAACGTAAATTTATAGTAGAAAAATAACGGTAGCGAAACACGAGACATGTGAACTCTGTGGCAACTGATGAGTATATATATATAATGAGTATACGACCTAATGTTTCATACAAAAATTGTGTAAAAATATAATTTTCTAAAAAAAATGTAATGAGTAAAGATTCATTATTTAATTTTTATACCTGAAATACCATGTTAATATTATGACTTAACAAAATATTTGAGTATAAATGCTAAATTCCCGTTAGTGTTCATCTCGTACATTACTATAACATTTATTATAAAAAAAAGATAAATGGGTCGATGACGCTTAGATTTAAAAATATTATCAATATTAACTTTGTCCGGTTTTTCCCTGTGTAAAAATTCTATCTATACTCTTATGGATGGATTTTTGTCTTATGATAATACACATACACATAAACCTGACATTAACTTTTTCCCTTGAGAGTTATTTTTTTAATTTGCTTTAATAATAAATTCTTACAAATGATTTATCATGAGTTTTCATTAAAGATGACCAAAATAATTGGGTTCTTTTGGTCACACAAATAATTTTTTCATAGTTAGGGCTTACAGCTAACATTTTAATAAAATTCAACGGTCGATCACTATTTAATGTACTAAGGTTTTTATCAACATTTTTTTCTAACTCATTATACTTTAAATACCTAAAAAATAAATAAATCAATAGAGTATGATATAGCTTTTATAAATTTTAATAATGTATACTTTTGGTCGTTTGTTTTTTCAAAACAATATACAGTGGAATCACCTATTACGAATACTAGGCCCTTTTTAAAAGATATACAACATCTAATATCAGTCAGCTCCCCATTTTTTCTATTTAATGGAATAACATCCAAAGGATTTTTTAATTTAAGTTTAGGATCCAAAGTAGTTGTAGTTTTAGCATTATAAATTGCAATAAGATCTCCATTTTCAATTAATATTATTCGACCATCAACAGTACCTGCTAAAATTCTGATACAAAAAAAAAGAAGATTAATAAACAAATGTTTTAATTTATGTCTAGTAAAAAAAAAACTATTATACTATAAATAAAAGTTTATTAATTTTTTTAGATAATATTTACTAAGGCATTAAATCGTCTATAACATATGACTTAAAAAGTTTTTATAAAAAATTAAGATTTTAAATAAAAAAATCTTTCATTCAACATTTATTTCTATAAAGTGAAATTTTTTTCCAACTTAAGTACTGATTTGAGTTTTAATTAAATTTTATTCATGTCAATGATCTAATATTATATTAATTATACCTATCACCATTCAACCAACATACAGATGTTAAGTCCAAATTTTCAGCTTTTTGGAATCCGTACTGCCGCCAAACTGAATCAGTAATAGTCATTAGTCGAAATAAGCCTTTGCCAACAAAACATGATATCGTATTATCAGTTGGATTTAATGACATCTGAAAAAGTATAAGTTTATATATATATATATATACTTGAATAACAATCAAACTTAAATTGTTCATTATTTGTAGCCAAGATTTTGATGTTCAATTTAATTAGGCATCATTTTATAAATCTCGTATTACGAATGTGAAAATCTACCGAAATTTATCTATACGAATTCATTGACTGCGATACAAAAATATTACAGTTTGGTAACAGGTAAAAGAATTCATAAAAATTGTAATTACTAGGTAATTCATTAGTTCTATTATTGCGCCTAGTGCATAATGAAAATCAATTATATGGATTAAGAAGCCAGTGTCATGATATACACAGTATAAATTTGCGTACTGAAAACTTTCTGTTTTTATTTTTGGAACTATGATTTTCGGTGATTTTTACTATCACTACCAATTATTTTTTGTGGGGTATTTATTCTTGTATTTCTTGGGCACGCCATTAACCACAAAATAGTTATAGTTTTTGTATTTTGTTAATACAAACATCAGTCACGGGTCCAACGACATTTGGAGGACTAATAGCTTTTACATAGCTATCAATTTTTGAATTTTCCCAATTATAATAATACATTATGAAATCAGGTTCATTGCTTAAAACGGCTAAGTATATATCATCGTATGAAAATTGTAAAACCATAAAACTATTAGCTTTCAATTCAATAGGCGAAGTAAATAGTCGCACACGTTTCATTGTGTTTAAATCGTAAATACTGATTGTAGGCTTCTCGCTTTTCTTTGCAATTGCTAGTGTTTTCCTGTTAATAATTATTTTACAAATCAATGAATAATAACGTAAGTATAGACATATTCTTATTTTATCTTTTGTTGAAAAATTAAAATTAAAAACAAATAATAGCATACTTGTTATTACTGAGTGTCATAGCCGTGATAGTTTTTTGAGTATCGATAAGATGTATGTATTTTTGAGTATGCAGAATTATGTTATAAATTACAAGAACTCCAGACACTGGGTAAATTATTTCATCATTGTTTATGAAAAAGCAGTTTCCATTTAACCCAGTTGTAAGGCCAAAGAAAAACTTTGGTTCTAATGATGGTATTACTGATGACGACATAGTTAATAGAGATTATTTAATAAAAAAGTTGCGAAACATTCATGACATATTAAAAATCTACAAATTTATGTATAAAAATAATTTTTTAACTCTTAAAAATTATAAGTTTGATCGAATTTTGATTTTGTAGTTGCTAAGAAACAAAAAGTCACTTCGAATTAACCACGATTAAAAATATATATTTATTTATAATAGTCTTCATCCAACTAATAGTTTACTTAACCAGAGGTCCAAACATAAGGAATTAAAGGTTTTAATTTACAAAAAAAAATATGAACGGCTTTCTTTAATAAGTTAGTTTTCAAATTTTTGTCTTTTAACGATTGAAAATAGGTTCTAAGTGTAACACTAAGCTACATGATACTAACATACATATAATATTTAGAGAATATAATACAATGTTTTAAAATATATGAGGCACCTAATTCACCAGAAGGGAATAAAGTGATATTTTAGTATTTGTAAAGAAAGTCAAAATTTACTTTTTATCAGAAGATTGTCAAATATATTAAAGTTAACAAATTCCTATTATTGTTATATTAGAGGGACGGCGTGACCTATTCGATAACGCGGCAGTGCTTCGGATTCGAAACTCAGTCATGAGCATTCATTTGCTAAGTGATAGATCAGTTCGGTAATTGGAGTCGTCCAACTTAAAAATGTATAAAGAAAATAGACCTGTTACAACTTAATTTTTGAAAATGTTCCGTAAATATTGACATTTTTATGTATATTTTTAATTAAATCTTATGTAATATACTTTAATATGAAAAAAAATTCAAACTTTATATTATCTTTATGGTGAAAATAGCTAACGTATTCAATAATATGCTATTTTTGTGTTAAAATTCTCGATTTTATATTTTTAATTTTATATTTCTATAACTTTTAGAAAAATGAATGGAACAATACATTTTTTTTTAATAATTTATGTACACACCTTTCATCCGCCATCTTTTTTTTTTT